CTGTCAGTAGAGATCGAAGTGGTGGCATTCGTGTCGTGAAGGCATTTACATCAACAATCATATCAATAAATATAGGATATAACGGGTCATGTATGTACCTAAAAAGAATTTTGTTGTTTGAATATGAAATTAAAATTCTCTATATAAGAATTCATACATATTTATTGTAATATACAAATAGTAAGTGGAGTAGTCCTAATTAGCCCTATCTTTGTATATAGTATTTTTTTGATATTATCTTCCATCTGTCCCAATCTATATGGACCATTTGAAGTTTTATAATAGATTAAAAAATAATATTATTTTATTGATTAATAGAAGTGTATAAGATTATTTTGATATTTTTGTTATTTGTACTTTACATATAAATTAATTATGTGTAATAGTATGCTTGTAATTTTGGTAAAAATTAAAAGATATTTTGATATTAGTATGTGGTTACTTTTATTATAATAGAAAAATAATACTTTTGAGTTGGAAGGAACAAAATGACAAAAATAGTACTTTAGTCGAGACGAAAGTAGTATTTAATATTGTTTTTTATTCTAAGGTTCTTAGTGTGTTTGTTTTAGGCTTTTAATTTAAGGTCTTTTTTATGTTAAGTATGTAAAGTATATATATATGATATATTTTGTGTGAATATTTATTGTAGTATGTTTTATAATATTAATCAGAAAATATGTCAAAAAAAATGGTAAATATTTATTATAGTATTTTTTATAATATTAATCAGAAAATATGTCAAAAAAAAATGGTAAATATTTATTATAGTATTTTTTATAATATTAATCAGAAAATATGTCAAAAAAAATGGTAAATATTTATTATAGTATTTTTATAATATTAATCAGAAAATATGTTAAAAAAAAAATGGTAGAAGAATACACTTAAAAGTTTGGTTTCAATTATATTATTATACAATTATTTCGTTTCCTCGTAAAAATACAATATTTTCTCATATAAAAAACATGACATTCAAACTATTATTCAACAATTTTTTATTTTTTATTTTTTTAAAAAAAGGACATCAAAACTCAAAATAGTACTATTACAAAACCGTAATTTACTAAAATGAATATGCATTAAATATATATATATATATATATATAGTTTTTTATGGAATTATATCAACACATATTTTGTAATTTTAAAATATAAACCTTCAATTAAAAATAGTTATATATATAAATAATATAACAAAACCAATTGGAATATACCATAATTTTCCGGTTTTTTTTTTTTTTTTTGTTTCTTTATTTACTATGTAATAAATTTTTATAAAAATATATTATTTTTTTCATTAAATATTGTATTGAATTATTATTTAAAAATAAAATACAAACACAAAGATAAACACAAACCAAAACACCTTTGCAATTTCCATAAGTTAAATATGTGAAGGATATTTATATTATAACCAAATTACCCTAATGGAAGTGAAGGTTATGTTTGATTATGGTTAAATACAATCATTTGTGTTTGATTTTATTTTTAAATTATCTTTTTTATTATTGGGTTAAATATAATCATTTGTGTCCTTTTTTGTTTTGGAGTTTGATTTTATTTTTAATTTATCTTTTTATATGTTTTTTGTTTACATAGTAATTTAAATGTATTATTTTGTAAAAAATAATTATATTTTTTTTTAGAGATCCGAAATGGTTATATAGTAAAAAATATGAATTAATCAGAACTCCCAAAAGTATATGTGTTTGTGTTTGTGTTGGTGGATTTTGTTACTAAATAGTATAATTAAATATAATATTTTGTAAAATTAAATAGTATTATATTTTTATAAAGAGCAGTGGGAATTAAATAATAATTAAAATGAAAAACTGAATTTTTCAAAAATTCAAATTCAGAACAACTCAATTTTATTTATTTATTTTTTCAATTCATTGGAGGTTTATGGAATTCTTGTTTTAAGAATTATGAAATATAGAAGATATGATCATATCCCTAAATTATAGAGATCATATTTTGAGTAAATCATTAAGGGTGTGTTTGTTTATTTGTGGGTTTTAATTTTTGAGTAGTAAAAAATTTATTTAAATAGTTGTATAATGTGATAAATAGAAGTTGATGTAATTTTTTAATGTAAAATAAAATTTTAGTATAATATAAAAAAATAAAAATAATTGTCTAATTTGATACTTTTATAAATAAAAAAAAAATAAAAAAATAAAAAATTACCTAATAAAAACCTGCCATAAAACCGACAGAAAACACACCCTAAAGGTTGTTTGCATAGAGAGCTTATTAGGATGACCCCAAGACTTAAAACAACATAAAGCCTACACATAATACTTGGGAGAGATTATCTCTAAGTTGAGAATGATATAATATACCGTTGTACTATCGAGGATTTTCGTTCTGTAGCAAGAAATCTTTCACGATTTCAATTTTTTTTTTTCTAATTCCTTTATTATCATTCTATATTTTTCAACATTAACTAGAATTAGGATGACATAACGTACCGTACTGTACCGAAAATACTGGTCGATATTGATACCGTACCGAATTTTTCAGTATGACAAAAATACATACCGGTATTGTACCGAGAGTTTCAATATACCGAATTTCGGTATACCAAAATTATTGAGATATTTTAGATATTCAGTTTTAGATTTAGTAGATTTATATCTAGATTTGATCTTATTCATAGATTAGATTACTTAGATTTTAGTAGTCTGTTTTGTATGACCTATATATAGGCTCCTTATTTTGACAATAAAAAGACAATCTCATTTTTTTTCCTCAAAATTTCTAATATGGTATCAGAGCCTATTTTTATCATGCCGTAGGTATAGCCTACCAACCCGTGTTTCTCCGGGTACATTCAACCTGGATTGTACCCGGAGGTCTTGTGATCTTGAGATGGTTTTGTGATTTTAAGATCATGCCTTTGCAACTCTGTTTTTTTGCAAATCTGTCTGTTGTCTGTCTGGTCCTGCTTGCAATCTGAAATTTGTCTGCGATCTGCATATGAAATCTATTGAAATCTGTCTGCTATCTACCATATGTCGACTGTCTGTCTAATGCCTGCGTGCGATTTGCCATCTGTCGTTACCTGTCTGTTGCCTGCGTGCGATCTGCCATCTTTCTTGCTTGTTTGTTGCCGAAAATCTGTCTTAGATCTGTCATATGTCTGTTGTTTGTCTGTTGCCTGCATTTTTGCTCCGGTGGAGTCATCTCGTTTTCGATAATCTCATTTTCGGCTCCGGTGGAGTTCTGTCGTTTTCGGCTCCAGTGGAGTTGTATCGTTTTTTGCTCCGGTGGAGTCATCTAGTTTTCGCCTCCGGAGTTATGTGGTTTTTGGCTCCGGTGGAGTCATGTGGTTTTCGGCTCAAGTGGAGTCATCTCGTTTTCGGTTCCGGTGGAGTCATGTCGTTTTTGGCTCCGGTTGAGTCATCTCGTTTTCGGCTCCGGTAAAGTCATCTTGTTTTCGGCTTCGGTGGAGAGTCATATCGTATTCGGCTTCGGTGGAGTCATGTCGTTTTCGACTCCGGTGGAGTCATCTCGTTTTCGGCTCCGGTTGAGTCATCTCGTTTTCGGCTCCTGTGGAGTCATCTCGTTTTTTGCTCATGTGGAGAGTCATATATTTTTCGACTCCGGTGGAGAGTCATTTTATTTTTTGCTCCAGTGGTGGAGAGTCAATTGCTAATTTTATTTATGTTTTCTTTTTGCGTTTATATTCAAATTTCTCATCAAACTCAAGTTGGTTTCTGTTATACCACTTGAGTTTGAGGGGGAATGTTGAGATATTTCAGATATTCAGTTTTAAATTTAGTAGATTTATATCTAGATTTGATCTTATTCATAGATTAGATTACTTAAATTTGAGTCTATCGAGTCTGTTTTGTATGACCTATATATAGGCTCCTTATTTTGACGATAAAAAGACAATCTCATTATTTTCCCCCAAAATTTCTAACAAAAATTTTCGGTACCGGTATATACCGCTTATACCGAAAATTTTAATTTTGGTAAATACCGGTATATACCGATTATACCGAAAATATAATTTTAAATTTCAAAATAATTAAAAAAAATTAATAAAAATCACTATTCTCCGCCACAAAAATATTATGAAAAAATCAATAAATTTTTAATAGTTTACATATATTTTTGTTATGATTAAAAAAAAAAATTAATAATTATTATTTATATTAATAATTAAATTATTTAATAAAAATAATATCGGTATCATACCGAAATACCGAACTTTTCGAAAATTCATACCGATACCGTACCGAAAACTTCGGTACGATATCCATACCGTACCGAAATTTTCGGTATACCGAAATTTTCGATATTTTCGACACAATACGGTACGATAAATCGATATTTTGGTATGTTGGAGAAATTTCTCCGTCTCTAACTGGAATAGATGTTGAAGATAATATTTTACATATAAAATAGCTAGTGAACTTGCTATATATATATATATATATAAAAGAAAATTTAAGATTTTCACATCTATGCCTAATTATTATTTTTATCTTATATATTTACTTGGTTTTATCTTAGTCTCATATCTCGTAAAAAATCACTATGTTTGTTTCTTGAAGAACAAAAAAAAAAAAAATTGTTTTATATCATCTCAAAAAAATAGAACAAAAGTAATAATTAACGACAAGGACATTATTAAATTTGCAATTTTCCCCGTAACATACATGCATCTAATAAATTAAAATTTAAGTTCAAAAACCCTAAAGTCAAATAAAATGTATGTCCCAGAATAATAAATAATGCACAAAAATTAAAATTAAAAAACAAAAAGGAGAGGGACAGTTGAAGCATTTAATTACACCAAAGAGTGGCAGTTGAAATATTGCAATGCAATATTGGACCTACCATGTGAATTTAATAAATTTATTTATTTATTATATTTAACCCTTTATTTTTTTCATCATTATAAATAACAAATTTAATCTCTGCATGCATTTGTCAGGGTTTGTTTATTTCTATGAAATAAAAAAATATATATTAAAAAAAAAATGGGTGGATTTTGGCGTAGTAGTGTTGTTGGTTTTGTAGTGGTGGCTTTGATTGTTCAAAGTGGAGTTTTTTGTGATGAAAATAATAACATTAATAATGAAAAGGGAGATTTAAAAGACAAGAAGTTCTTATTGCATAGGCATTTTCTAGGGAAGGGCCTTGGGTTAGGGTTTGGTGGTGGTAGTGGCTTTGGCGGCGGCGCCGGTGGTGGTTTGGGTGGTGGGGGTGGTCTTGGTGGTGGCGGCGGATTGGGCGGTGGGAGTGGTCTAGGGGGAGGTTTTGGTCATGGTATAGGTCTTGGTGGTGGAAGTGGTGGTGGTTTAGGGGGTGGTGGCGGTCTTGGTGGCGGTGGTGGATTAGGGGGTGGTAGTGGGCTTGGGGGTGGTGGTGGATTAGGTGGCGGTAGTGGTCTTGGTGGCGGTGGTGGTTTAGGGGGTGGTAGTGGTCTTGGTGGCGGGGGTGGTTTAGGGGGTGGTAGTGGTCTCGGGGGTGGTGGTGGTTTAGGGGGTGGTAGTGGTCTTGGGGGTGGTGGTGGTTTAGGGGGTGGAGGTGGTCTTGGCGGAGGTGGTGGTTTAGGGGGCGGTGGATGGGGGCATGGTCTTGGCGGCGGATATGGAGGTGGCGCCGGTGGCGGATATGGTGGCGGAGGCCACTAATTATATATTTGAAGCCACCTTGACGGTTATATGAATACGTGCGATGTTTTGTAAGAAAAAATATTTGTAATGGTAAGATATATATATATATATATTGATGCGTGTAATATTAAAATATTGTAACCATTTCAAAGGAAGTTGGCCATGCATTTCATGCATGTAAAGCCACGTCCAATGTGCACGAGAAAATCGATCAATTTATTAATGTAAGTGTTGTACGTGTTGAGGGTGCCTAAAGTTGATGAATCTTGTTCTCGTGGATTTTATAAATTCTATTAGTTATGTTCTTTTGAATTTTGATTTTGATTTTTTTTATTTTTCTTAATATACAATATATATATATATTTAACAAAATATAATATTCAAATTACTATTCTAACCAAACTTAAAAAGAATACATCCAATATTTTGCAAGAATTTTACTCACTTTGCCACTTTAGTTTATTATGATAATGCATATTAGACCAAAAACCAACGAAGTCTGAAGTTTTATCCGTTAGGATTATGGTCTTAAACAAATACTTGAAGATCCTTAGCAATGACAAAAATAAGAACGAAATATTTGAAGGACAAAAAGATATATGATTCGGTCAAGATGACCTACATCCACAGGCAAAGGAGGAGCAAATTTTCACTATCAAGAGAGAATACAAAATAGGCTCAAATAACGATTTTAAAGTCCACAACTCTCAATCTCTCAAAACATCCTCGAGGCAAAACAAGCAAGCCATAAATATATATGCAAATACTTATTGTCTTATAGCAAATTTGTCACCAAAGCAATGTAAGACAATAATTTTCTTCAATTTAAAATACCCATGGGACAAAGTGACATAACATTAGAGGAACTCCAACCCACCAAAAAATGGGGGAGGGGCTCCAACCCACCCCCACCCCCAAATCCCCCCTCCCCCCCTCCCCCCCCCCCCCCCCCCCCCCCCCCCCGCCCAATCATTTTTGCAGGAATCCACAGTGTTACTCTATTTTGTTACTCCATTTTTGGAGTGGAGTTTTGTGGTATTTTTTATATTTTTGGTATTTTTTTGGTGTATAGTAGATGATATATAATTTTATATTTTAAAAGTTGTATGTAATTTTATTTTTTTGGAAAAATAATGTATAATTTTATTTTTTAAAAGTGATATAATTTTAGTTTTTGGAAAGTAATATAAAATTTTATTTTTTAAATTGATATATAATTTTACTGTTTGAAAAGTGATATAATTTTTATTTTTTTAAAAGTGATATAATTTTATTTTTAGCATTTAATTATTTATTTAAAATTATTTTATTTGTAATAGTTATTAATTATAAATGTTAATTTTTATATATGTAATTTTTAAATAATTTATAAATTATATGTGTATGGATCTAATGTAAAAATAAATTAAAGTTGGGGTGTAATTTATAAATATGAAAAGTTATATAAAATAATATAAAATAGGAATGTACAGGCAATATACTTTTTAGAGTAAAAATTTAAGTTTATGGTTGAAGTAAAATTACAATTACTGTAAATCAACTGCATTTTTACCGTAACAATTGCAAAAATGGAGTTGAGGGTTGGAGATGACTTTATCATGGTAGTATTTTTCACATCAAAATCTCATTGTGACATAAATCCCAAATTTTATCAATATTTGTAAAAATTATGTAAAAAAAACTAAATTTGAGGATTATTTTATGCAATTATTGCATGCTTTAAAGTAGACATTTTTCTTTTATCCTTAACTTTAATCGTTCATGGAGTAACTAGACACAAAATCCAACGCCCTTTAAAACTTCGAGCAAATAGCCGTTTTATTTTGTACTTTTATCGTGAAGTTTTTGTATAAAAATAAATAATATTACTGGTTCTGTTCCAAAAAAAATTGACTCTTTTTCATATAAATATTTAAATATTATTTGTTATATCAATACTTAATATAAATAAAAAATAAAAATATTCTATTGATTTCTTATAATACAAATAATTACACTTATAAAATAAATTATATAAATATAAAAATATTATAAAAATAATATTTATGGGAGAAAAAGAAAAAACAAGTGTTATATTTGCTACAAATTTTTTCCACAAGTTAATAAAACAAAAAGTCCGATAAAAAATACCTAGAGCTCACTCGAAAAATAATAGCGGTAAAAAATGCATTAAAAAAAATAGGATAAATTATATACTACCTACCTGTATTTTATTAAATTAGCGTAATATCTCCTCTATTAATAAAATCATCTTAAAACACACTGTATTTAATTTTAGTTGCATACGCTCCACAATTAGATATAACTCGTAACATCGTTAATAATTTACACGTTTGGATCGTTATATCCCTAACCCACCAATTCCGCTTCGACTTCAACATTCTCATAATATTCCACTCCAACTTTAACTTAGGGCAGGATTTTATCGATTTTCTATCGTTCACTGCCAAGTTCATCGTTTCGTCACTCAGATTTCCGATGTTCTCCCTAATTCCGAACTTCACTATTCTTTTTCGGTAAGTAATATCTTGCCCAATGAATGTTGATTTGTGAGTTTCATAGCTTTTGTTCTTCGATTTTTTAAATTATTTAAAGAATTTTGTATATTTCATCTGTTTTGAAAGGAGTGACTGCTAGTTTTTAATAATATCTTTTGATTTGGGGACCACCGGAAACGATTTGTTTAATTTTGGGGAGGGGCCGCAAAGTTCACTAAATGAAATTTCTAAACGTTCGGGGGACCACCGTACATCATTTATAAATTAATTTGTGAATTTTGGTTGTTGTTGATCTTGATTTCTACTTTCGATTGAAATTACACAAAAATGAATTTGATTTGAAGTTTATACTTTGAAAGGTGGTGTGGGTAAGATTTAGTTTCTTGCCCACAATTTTTTTTATATGCAAATATGGAGGTTATATAATTTATCTATATATATATATATATGCTTTTAAAATATAATTATTTTTTATTTGTTAGAAAATTGCACTTGTGAGATGAAGTCTACATATGAACCGCTCAATGTGAGAGAATATGGTAATCAAGAAGGAGGTATGGAGGAAAATACATTAAATGATGATAATGCCGGTGGGCAGAAAATTGTAAGCGATATTAGCGGTGGCTTCGGAGATGAGATGGAGCATGGATGGGGAGGTATTCGCAATGACGAGGTGGGTGAGAGAATGACTGGAACTTTTAGTCATATAACAATTTCAGAATTTCCTTACGAAAGATGCAATGAGTTATCTACAGACAGTGACTTTGATGATGGTATTGGGAAGGATTTGGAATCTGATGATCCCTCTTGGATGTATGAAGAGTTTGAAGGGCCAAATGATGATGATATCTTCACTAACCAGCCATCTCATAATTGTGGAAAAATAAAAGTACTGTTGAAAGAAGTGCGTTCATTGAGGCGAGAAAGAAGAAATTATAAACGAAAGGATAAACAAGAGCGAGCAAAATCAAGTATGACAGAAGAAGGAGCTGAATGGTACAGTGATTGTAATTCATATTGTGATTTGGAAGGAGGAAAACAATCAGATGAAGAAAATACTTTGCCGATATATGGAGAGTGGGATGAATCAATGCATATGGGCCAACATGATTTGGTTATTGGCATGAAGTTTCCTTCACGAGAGAAGTACAAAGAGGTTTTAAAAGATTGGGCAGTGCGTAGAGGTTGGGATTTGAAGTACTCAAAGATGGAAAAACATGTAGTGACTGCGCAATGTAAAAAAGGGTGTGATTGGTCAATCAGAGCGTCTTCTATTATGAGGGGAAAAACATTTCAAATCAAGACACTCAAAGAAAAACACACGTGTGCGCACATGACCACAAACTCACAGGCTGATTTCAGATACTTTTCTTACACAGTCTTGTTGCTATTTGCATTCTATATTGATTTTTTTACATGCCAAAGTGATTCAATATTTTCTTCTGCACCTTTTATGTGATTTATTTTAATTTTTTATTTAATTTTTTTAGTATTACTTGACGAGTTTATTTCACTGCTTGGCCAATGCAGAAATTTATTTCACTGGGTGTATTGAATAATTTTTCCAAAGTGCTTTTGTTTCTCTGCTTATAGTACTGCTTGATCAATCACTGCTTGTAGTACTTGTTATATGATATTTGTCTATATTTTATTTAATTTTTAAATATTTTTAACATTGTTTATTTATAAGAAATTTTTAAATATGTGTTAATTGTATTTATTTGAATATTTGATACAAGCTTTGCTTTGCTTGACGGTTGCATTTATTATTTTTTGTTTGTTCATTTGTTTTATATATATATATATATATATAAAGATATCTAGGTAGAAGGATATTGAAATATATAAGAGATAATCCTGCTGAAACCATTGACTCATTAACTCGAAAGATAACAAGAGATGTGGATGTGGAGGTTAGTAAGTACAAGGTATATCGGGCCAAAAAACATGCAATTGAACTTTTAAAGGGTGACATAAATGAATAATACACCAGGTTGTATGACTATTGTCACACTGTTGTGAAGTATAATCCTATGAGTTCGTGCATTTTAAAGGTTGACAGAAGCTTGACTCCTCTAGTTCTACAGAGGATGTATTATTGTCTGAAGCCCTTAAATGATGGGTTTCATGAAGGATGCAGGCCTTTAATTGGATTAGATGGATGTTTTTTGAAAGGTATGTATAAGGGACAACTTTTGTCAGCCATTGGAAGGGATGGTAACGATAAAATTTACCCAATTGCTATGGCGTTTGTGGAGATTGAAAAGTTTGATAGTTGGGATTGGTTTCTGAATCTATTGCTGAGAGATTTAGGTGAATCTAGAGATGGAGAATGGGCATTTATAAGTGACAGACAGAAGGGTTTGATTGAGGCGATCGGAAAACATGCTCCAAATGCTGAGCATCGATTTTGTTTAAGACATATGTATAATAATTTCAAGTCAAAGTACAAGGGCATAGAGTTGAAGAGGCTGTTTTGGAAAGCTGCATCAGCATACAATATTAGTGAACATAAATCTGCGATGCGAGAAATTTTGAAGTTTGATCCGAGGTTGGTGAGTCAAAAAATGCATTTGAGTGGCTAGCAGAAATTTTAGAATATCAATGGGCCAGAGCATACTTTCCTACTCGAACAAAATGCGATGTATTGGTTAATAATATTAGTGAGTCTTGGAATCACTATATTATGCCTGCACGTGAACTTCCAATTATTGATATGTTTGAGTGGATTCGAAGAAAATGCATGACTAGGATACAAATCAAGAGGGAAGGAATGATGAAGTATACTGGACTAATTTTTCCAAACATTAAGAAAAAAATCGAGGCACAAAGAAAGGTGAGTAGAAATTGTTATCCTTGTTGGGCTGGGGAGGATAAGTACGAGATCATGCACTGGGTGAACAACCATGTAGTGCATCTTCAAAGCAAGCATTGCACGTGTGGGATGTTTCAACTAGTTGGCTATCCATGTGCTCATGCCATGTCTGCATTAAGTATGCATAGACAAGATCCATTGTTGTATGTGGATCCATATTTCAGCAAGGATTTATATATGAAAGTCTACAACCATATGATAAATCCTGTACCTGGAATGCATAATTATGTGGAATCTTCTTTGGGGCTGGTTGGTCCTCCAATATTGAAGAAAAGAACTGGGCGGCCTAAGAAAGCACGGAAGGCTGATGCGAATGATGTGAAAGATAGCACAAAATCATCAATGAGAGGATTAACACATACATGCGCAATATGTCTTCAACAAGGACATAACAAGAGAAGTTGTAAAAATAGTCCTCATCCAAATTCTAAATTCCAAACGGCAAGTTATTATATCATTTACTTTAATAATCACACTATATTGCATTCAACTAACTTGTTTGACATTATTTTCAGAGATCAATTACTGCTTTGGGTGTCACAAAGGAATTTCACTCCAGCACTATAGATGTTAATGTTGACAGACCTCCAGTTATGCAAGCAGAGAATCCATCCACAAATGAGCCCTCAAGCGAGACAATTGGACTGTCCCAAGAACAAACACTACATATGTCAAATCCACCTACTGTAGAGGTATAGTGTGTAACATTATGTGTTTTAATATTTTTACAGTAATACATGTGAACAAAAAAAAATTTTGGTAAGCTATGTCTATGCATGTTAGTATTATTTTATTTTATTTTTATTTTTTTTGTTCTAGCACCACTTTAATAACGCCCCTCGAAAGGTAAACCAATCACAGTCTAATACTCGAAGATTTATTCAAAGTCATGGAGCAACTCCAATGCAAGGGATGACTGGCTTAACACGCATAGGGGAGACTAGTACCAATCGAAAGACATCTTCTTTTGGCGGTATGTTGCATAACCTACGATTCTCGTACCAACCAAGAAAAATAGAAGGTTCATCAACTCCTACTGACAACACCACAAGAGAAGACCGAGAAAAAGGAAATTAATGTATGAAATTATTGGCCTTTGCGTTTCATGTTGGGTAGGGATAGTGGTTTTTTTTTTTTTACTTTTTGGTTTGGTATGGTTGGTAGAATATTTTGTGCGTTAATTTTGTCTTATTCCATATGTTTTGGATATGATGTTGGCCAATAACAATGACAATATTTTTTTTTCAATTTGAATTGAAAATACAAGGTCTGCATTGCATAATAGAACATATTTTCTTTCAGGAACAAGTTTAGAATATAATACATTACCCACAATAACAAGCAAAATTGATATTTGATGGTGATGAATATGAAATATAACAGATTTTCTTTCACTTCAACAACAATAAACCATGCGTTGGATAACTCATGACATAAAAAAAAAATCCAACACACCTATCTAATGCCAATTCAATCATTCATTATGATATACTTTAAAAAAATATAATGTCCAGCATTAATTCAATATTACATGCAAAAATAATTATAATAAATGCATGTCAAATATAAACAATTATAGAAAATCCAATACAATTACATGATCATCAATTCAAACTCATGCTTACATATATATACATTCCTCTTTTTTCAATTTTATCCACCTTTGCATTTGTTTTTTTACAAATTTTGAGCAACCGTGCAACATTTTCAGATTCATCATCTTCTAAATCACCCTTATTCATTCTTGAAACGACTTCGTCTTGATCGTAATCAGCTGCCTTCGGCGGGCTTTCAGTACTCCTTGACAGAGGATTCAAAGGTTCTAACCGGCAAAAAAATCGCACTGGCCAATTTTACAATTGCAAAATAATTTACCTTCGGTTTCTTTTGTAGATCCGATGACTTTTATAGCAGCATATCTTCCACACTTACATAAAGAATTCTTGTATCTTAAGTCACCCTTCTTGATATTCCATCCATGTTTCGGCTTTGAAGAATTGGTAAACATAGCTGATTTTATCAATTGTACACTGCAATCTGCACCCTATAACATCAAAATACACTGCAACCAAATAGTATAACACGCAAATTACGATCCAAATTTGTTTATGCATTTTGAATAGAACAACGAAAATTTCACACTATATACACAATCATAATAATATCAAAGTTGAGGGAATATAACTGAGATTGTATACACCTATAAATAACAACTAAAATTTTCTAAAATACCCAATTTGAAGTCCCGCACATGGCAAGCCCTAAATCCATAATCCAACACCCATTTTGTAAATAAAAATTTTCAAAATATATGAATATCTGAAGAATATAGGTTCAAATAATAATAAAAAAAAATCAAATTCCAACACCCATTTTTAGAAAATTTAATAAATATTATGCTAACATCAAACGAAAGGCTCGGTGTGCTATCAAAACACATAGGTTCAAATAAGAGATTCAAAAATCAGCCAAAATACACGAATATATGAAGAATCACAAATTTTGGAATGTAATTAGCAATTTTCAAATAATAAAACTACTAAAATTGAGAAGCCCAAATTGATTTTTTACACATCCAGCCGCTTTGTATATAAATTTTGTTATATACACTTTCAGCCCTAAATTCGAAAATTGAATTTGATAGGTATTCATCAATTTTAACTCATGCTTACAAAAAAAAAATCATCTTACCAGAAAAACAATGGAAACGGGCTATCTCAGTGTTGAAAACATAACTTCCTTCCACTTTTCTCCATTTTCGCACCACCGGAAGCAGATGACGAAGAAGTTTAAAAAGAAGGAAAATTGAGTATGTTTGGTTCTATTTAACAAAGGTAAGGGCAGTTCAGTCATTTCATAATTTAATCTCTCAAGTCATAGAATCATTTTCGCATAATTAGCGTGTGTATTTCACTGTTAGTTATTTAAAAGGGAAAGGGTGACTTATGCATCATTATGAATAATATAAATATGTTTCATGCTATTTTTTTAACATAGGGTGTTTTATGCAACTAAAACAAAACACAGAGGGAGGTAACAGACTTTACCTAAAAAAATAAGTAACACCCCCTTGTGTTTTAGTAAAAAAAGCACAAGACACTCTATGTTTTATTTATTGCATGAAACCTCATTGTGTTAATATAAAGTTTGCACAAAACACCATCATTGTCTAAAACTGATGATTTGTTCTAAATAAATACCTAAATTACGTAAATTTTATATAAATAAAAAACATAAATATCTAAAATAATTTTTTTGAATAAAATAATAAATAAATAATTGATCAATCATTTATTTTTATAGTATTTGTAAAAATTATATAACAATTTGTCTCCAAAAAACTATCAAATGAATGATTAATCAATTATTTATTTATTTATTTTATTCAAAAAAATTGTTAAAGATATTTTACATTTTTTATTTGTATAAAACTTGCGTAATTTAGGTCTATATTTAGAACCAAACATCAGTTTTGGACAAGAAGGGTGTTTCATGCAAACTTTATATTGGATTTCATGCAAACTTTACATTGGATTTCATGCAATAAATAAAACATAGAATGTTTTATGCATTTTTATTAAAACACAATGGAGTGTTATATGATTTACCAAAAAATAATAATAAAGAAAACCATACACCCCAAAAAAACCATACTCAAATCCACATTGAGCTTCCAAAATCTGGTTTGTTTAGTTTGAGTTTGTACATTTCCTCGTTGTTGAGATATTTTAAATATTCAATTTTAGATTTAGTAGATTTATATCTAGATTTGACCGTATCCATAGATTAGATTACTTAGATTTTAGTTTATTTTGTATTGCCTATATATAGGCTTCTTATTTTGATAATAAAGAATACAATCTCATTATTTTCCCCCAAAATTTCTAACATGGTATCAGAGCATGGTTTTTCAAAACCAAAACCCTAGTCGTCGCCGCCGTTGTTCGCCGTCCATCGTCCGCCCTTCTCCGGTCGTTTTTTTTTTTGTCGCCGCCTCCTGCTTTGTTCCCTACGTCGTGGTGTGGTTGGCTTTGTCATCGGAGTTGATCTCGTTTTGCGACTGTTGCCTATTGGATTGTTCGATCTATTTTCTTGATTTGGGTTTTGATTTCGTGATTCATATATTCTTATACGTTTTTTTGTTATGGAGCGTATAGACGTTCATTTACCTATTACTACTATATTGTCCGGTGATAATTATGATCTTTGGATGCAGTCTATGAAAAGTTTCTTGATTGGTAGGAAGTTATGGCAAATTGTCACTGGCGATATCCAGGCACCTGTCTCTCCATCTCCTTTTGTGCATGTTGATCCCACTTCTCGGGAGCATAAAGATTATGTTGCCAAATTGAAAGATTGGGATAGTAAGAATCATCAGATTCTTACTTGGTTGCGCAATACTTCTATACCTGCGATTCAGGTACAATTATACAATTGACCCGTCTTCAATTGGCTAAGACACCGAGTTCTGATTCTGCTTTAGCTGTGTCTCGCCAGTCCCGATCTGCTCATATTGGATGTCGAGTTTGCAAGTCTCCTAATCACACTTGGTCCACCTGTCCTAAAATTGAGTGCCACTCATGTCGTCTGCGTGACCATATTGCTCCGGTCTGTCCCACAAGATCTCAACGTTCAGGTAGTTCCACTCCTAGACATTCCGGTAGCTTTGCTCCCAAACCTCGGGAGCCTAGTGGGTCTTCTTTGACTGCATTTTCTACGATTACGGCTGCTACTATTGATGAGACTCAGCATGCGCCTTACAATCCTCACGAAATAGAAGCCATCATCAAACAAGTTATGCAAACCAATTCTGCTATGTCTACCACTCCATGTACATCTACTTGGTATTTTGATTCTGGTTGTTATCACCACATGACCTCTAACCCTCGTAACTTGACCTATATGTCCCTTGTCTCCCATTTACCACCTATACATACTGCCAATGGTACTACCATGCATATTACCCACACCGGTCTTGCATCCTCCCTTTCCCTATATCTTCCTGATACATATTGCATCCCTGACTTAGACTTAAATTTTATCTCTATTGGTCAATTAGTTGAACAAAGTCTTACCGTTACATTCTCTTCTGGTGGTGTGCAGGTTCAGGATTCTCAGGCGGGTCAGCTTCTCGGGACGGGACGCAAAACTGGTCGGTTATTTGAGCTTGAGTCTCTCTATACCTCCTGCACATATCCCCGCTCTGCAGCTCTTACCTCTGATTCCTTTAGTCTTCATTGGCATATTCACCTAGGTCATGCATCTTCCAGTAAGCTCCAGTCACTCCATACTAAAGGTCTTTTAGGTCTAGGTCGTTTTGAGTCTTTTAATTGTGTCGATTGTCAACTTGGCAAACAACCTGCTCTTAGTTTTTCAGAAAGTTCATCTATTGCTACTGAACCTTTTTCTTTAGTCCATTCTGACATTTGGGGTCTTTCTCCTGTTGCGTCCATCAGTGGTTTTCAGTATTATGTTATATTTATTGATGATTTTTCACGATTTACTTGGATTTATTTTTTGAAAAATCGTTATGAATTACCTTCTATATATGCTCAGTTTGCTCAAATGATTCACACTCAATTCTCCCGTCCTATTAAAGTCATTCGTACTGATAATGCTTGTGAGTACAATACGTCATCATTTTTGCAGTTTTTATCTAGTCAGGGTACCTTGGTACAGCGTTCATGTCCTTATACGTCCCAACAGAATGGGCGGGCAGAACGCAAACATCGTCACATTCTCGATACTGTTCGTGCCCTCCTTCTTTCTGCTGAGTGTCCTGATCGTTTTTGGGGGGAAGCAGCCTTAACTGCTGTTTACAGCATTAATCGGTTACCCTCGTCAGTCCTCCATGATGTCAGTCCCTTCGAGCGTCTATTTGGTCAGTCTCCTTATTATAGTTTATTTCATCCATTTGGTTGTGTGCGCTTTGTCCTCCTCCCTCCCCATGAGCGGACAAAGCTTCAACCTCGAGCTCGTTTATGTTTTTTTTTTTTTTGTTATGGCGACGAACACAAGGGTTATAGATGTCGGGATCCTATTTCTAATCGGTTGCGCATATCTCGTCATGTCACCTTTTGGGACCGCACATATTTCTCCACCTTGTCCAGTTTAGCACCCCGTTTCACTCATCTTCTCCCTTCTTTTCGTCTTCTCTCTCTCTGATCTCTTCCCAGACACCTCTTCCTCTTCTTCACCACAGCTCATTGATCAATCTGTCTTGTCACCGTCTCCTGGAGTTAATCCGTCTGCGCCTCCTGAGCCGACGTCTACTCCTACACTCCTCCCTACTTGTTGTCGCTCCACTTGTGTAAGTAAACCTCCTTCACACCTTAATGATTACCATTGTTACTCTGTCATTTTATCTCAACATAAACCTAGGTCCTTTCGTGAGGCGAATGCTGATCCATTATGGCAGCAAGCTATGACCGAGGAATTGCAGGCTCTGGAAAAGACTCACACTTGGGATTTAGTGGATTTGCCCTCAGGAAAAACCCCTATTGGGGTTTTTTAAATTAAGACACACTCTGATGGTTCCATTGAGCGCTACAAGGCTCGTCTGGTGGCCAAAGGTTATTCCCAAGAGTATGGAATTGACTATGATGAGACATTTGCTCATGTTGCTCGTCTCACTACTGTTCGTTGTCTTCTTGCCGTTGCGGCTGTTCGTCAATGGTCCCTTCTTCAGTTAGATGTCAAGAATGCATTCCTCCCTGGCACACTTTCTGAAGAAGTTTATATGATCCTTCCTCCATGTTTCTTGTCTTCTGGAAAAATTTGTCGCTTATGCCGTGCTTTATATGGATTGAAGCAGGCCCCTCGGGCTTGGTATACCACATTCAACGCTGCACTATTAGAGTTTGGTTTTACCACATGTGTTTACGACTCTGGTTTATTTCTTCGTCGTTCTTCATCAGGGATAGTTATACTCTTGTTTTATGTTGACGATATAATCATCACGGGAGATGATGCATCTGGTATTTCTGATCTACAAGCATATCTTAGCCAGCAGTTTGAGATGAAGAGCTTGGGTCCCCTTCGTTACTTTTTGGGGCTTGAAGTCTCTGATTCTCCCGATGGTTTCTTTCTGTCCCAGGTTAAGTATGTCTCCAATCTTCTTGCTCGAGATGGTCTCACAGACTGTCAGGTAGCATCTACACCACCTGCCTACGACGTTCGACTTACCCCTCATGATGGCTCTCTTCTTGATGATCCTACTCTTTACCGTCAACTTGTTGGGAGTTTGATCTATCTGACTGTCACTTGACCAGATATCGTTCATGCAGTCCATATTGTGAGTCAGTTCATGGCAGCTGCGAGGACCTCTCACCACTTTGCCGTCTTACATATTCTTAGTTATGTGAAAGGTACTCTTCTGCATGGCTTACAGTTCTCCTCTAACTCGTCTTTGACTCTTATCAGTTACTCTGATGCTGATTGGGCTGGTGATCCCACCGATTGACGCTCGACCACTGGTTTTTGCTTCTTCCTGGGTGATTCTCTCATTTCTTGGCGCAGCAAGAAGCAAACTTTAGTTTCTCGCTTGAGTGCCGAGTCAGAGTATCGTGCTCTTGCTGACTCTACTTCAGAACTTTTATGGCTTCGACGACTACTCGCTGACCTTGGTGCCCCTTAACCATCTTCTACGGCTCTTCACTGTGATAGTCAGAGTGCTATGAAGATGGCCATAATGATACCTTCCACGAGCGCTCCAAGCATATTGAGCTTGACTGTCACTTTATTCGACAACATGTTGTCAATGGAGTAGTTCGTCTCATTCCAGTATTTTCTGAAGATCAGACAGCAAATATCTTTACCAAATCTCTTCTTCCAGGCCGTTTCCGATTACTCTTGGACAACTCTAAGTTGGTCTCTACTGTCCTATCTTGAGTTTGAGGGGAATGTTGAGATATTTTAAATATTCAATTTTAGATTTAGTAAATTTATATCTAAATTTGATCGTATCCATAGATTAGATTACTTAGATTTGAGTTTATTTTGTATTGCCTATATATAGGCTTCTTATTTTAATAATCAAGAAAACAATCTCATTATTTTCCCCCAAAATTTCTAACACTCATAAATCTTTTACTCAATCTCTCGATAAAAGTATAGTATTAGGGGGCATTTGGCGTAGATAATAGAATTGCAGAGAAATAAGAATAAAGAATTGAATAGTAGATAAAATGAATTGAGTAGAGAATAAAATTAATTTTCTTATTTGGTAAAATAGAGAATTCAATTGAAAATTTTACAAAAATAAACTATCTAAATAGATCGAACAAAAACAAATGATTAATAAAAAAAAAAAAATTAACGATACAAATTTTTTAAAAAATAGTAAAAATTAAATATTTAAATAATAAATTAAATATGATTTTTGTAAAATTAAAACAATATAATTTTCAAAAAAGTATAAAATTAAATAGTAAAAAAAAAATTTTAAAAAAATTGTACTGCATCATTTCTCTCCCCATTCCCCGGATACGGTAGAAAAATGAAAACAAAAAATAAAAATAATTTATTTTTCAAAATTTTATTTATATGACTCAAACGAACCAAGAAAATGAAAACATTTTCTATTCTATTTCTCTTATATCAATTCTTTGTACCAAACATAGCCTCTTAGCATTTTATCTTACATTACATAAGGTTTAACTATTTCACCTAAGAAACGACTAAAACATACAAAACCCAAACCAAAACACAATCTTAGAATCCACTATTGAGTTTCCCGACCACATGAAGGTTAGAACTTTGCCTTGGCCTAAAGTTACCAGCAAAAGAACAGGCACAAAGCTCCACAATGACTTTCCAGACTCGAAAAGGTTTACCAATTTTGCCCACATTGAGTTTTCAAATCACATGAGATTTAAAATTTTGCCCTACCCGAAAATAACCATCAAAACGACAGCGACAAAGCTCCAAATTTAATCTCAAACTATTGAGGAATAAAATTCGCCCTACCCTATCCTAAAATAACCAGCAAAAAAATAAATAAATAAAACAAACAAAAAGGCGAGTTTTCAAACCACAAAAGGGTTAGAACTTCCGCAAATCTGGCACAAACTTACTCACTTCATTTAAAACAACGCAAACAAGACGAGCAATTATTTATTTAAGTTTGTTCTTCGAATATTGAAAGCTACAACACATCTCAACCAAATAAACCAAACAGACATCTCAAAGCTATCGGTCGTATTTATGTAATAAAATACGTTGTGTATGTTTGGCAGCCTTGTACTGACCGCGTTTATAGTCTATAAGTTGGTCTTGGCTTTATGACCAGTGACTCGCCTAGTCACAGACCGCATGGTCACAAATTCTTCTGCAGCGGATGGGTGAATCCCGACCTGGGAGATCATCAACAGAATTGTCAGTGTTCAGGCAATCTGGATTTTGTGTGAGAAATAGATATATGGTAACAACACTGAAAACACAGGACTTACTGTATTGTCAAATTGTGTCTTGGTTGCCCCACATCTGAGGGCGACGGCAATTCCCTGCAAAGGTCATCCAAGGATTATGGCTAGAGCAATCAACAAATTGATGTAGATTTTTGAAATATTTGAGTTGTAATTATATTAGGGACATAAGTGTAAATTAATTATCCAACATCCGAGCCTTCGTATATATATGTAGATATATAATATAAACTACACATTACTGTGCCAATTTGTGTACCAAATAACAACCCAATGTATGAATTTAATCCAAAAAGTCTAAGCTATAGAAAAGCTAAATCACACAGAAATGCAAATTAGTTGCCCCCCATCTGGGTGTGTAAATATATGTGAAATCGTGCATCATAGTTGTTGGCGACGTAAAGGTTCTTTAGGGCTGTGCAGGGCACCCCATAATAAATTACCGCACAAATATATATATATATATAACTATATATTAATGCAGCAGTTTGGTATAAGTAACAATCTTAGCATACTGTGAACTCCTTGATTTGTTTTCTACCACCACCATTTATAGTTTGTTTTCTTGAAGAACAAACTCCATTAGTTTTTGTTACTTCACCCGCTGAACTTATTCTTGTTTTTTTTTTCTTTTTTTGGCCTATCCTTTCAATTTACCTTATAACTAATTTTGGAAAAGCAAAAACTTCAACATTTAACCTTTACATTCAGACAATTGTCACTTCCTTTATTACAATTTTTTCTTTTCATTCTCTTTAATTTCTAATTAAGTTCCTAAAAATTGACCCTAACAACCTCTTTACTTTTCTTACTGTTGAATAAAATATTTATTTTTTTGAATTATTTTTCCCGTACGGAAGGAGTATTATTTTAGTAGAGTACGCTGCTTTAATACAGAACAAGAGGGGAAACTGATGTGTACCTGCATAATCTCAGGTGCATCTGGCCCACACATGGACGCTCCAACAACCTTATCTGTCTCAGCATCAACGACAAGCTTCATAACTGTTTTCTCCTGCCGTCTGCACCACAACGATGGATATAATTACTCATACAAAGCATTCACCTCATTGAATCAAAGATGTATGAAAACGATTCTATATATATGTAGCAATGTTCCTACAGGATAATTCAAACTGAGTTAAAAGCAATATATTCTGGGATCGTTATCCTGATTAATGACACAGGCAATCATGCACTCAACTTACATAACAAAAAACATACCCAGAAATGGTGTTCTTCATCGGATTAAATGTAGATGTATAAATCAAAATGTCGCCATTGGATTTCTCTAAGGCCAGCTCCTCACTGAGACCCACCACAGAGAGTGGAGGTATCCTGTCAAGTAGCATATGAGATATGATTCAAGACTGGATCTTGCAGTGTACCATCACAAAATGAACAACGAAAACTCCTTGTGTATGTACATATATTGCAATGACGCTGTAACTTTCCCATTAGCAATTAAAATCCACAATGAAATTATGCAAGGAATAAAGACAGCAATAGTAAGGTTTTTCAACCAAGGAAAAAAAATTGAATAAAATACCCAAACACAGCATAAGGTATGTGGTTGTAATCAGGAGCAGTAGCCTGTCCACCGAACACAGTTTTCTGCACCAACATTGAAGTCACAAATTACAGTAGTTAATAAAAATGGCATACCCAAATCTATGGAGTGAATAATTACGGTAAAATAGTCTTGGAAAACATACAGCAAAACATGTTCCTTCCATCAAGGCAACAGGGGTGAGATTCAGTCGATCTGTAACGTCACCTATGGCCCATATGCTTGGTATGTTGGTACGGGAATAGTCATCAACCTGTTACATATATGGATCGATAATTTACAATATTCCTGAAGTGATTAGAAGTAACACACAGCAATGTCTAGTCTACGGAGTATAGTATGGCTGAAGATCTCAAAAAGAAAGTTAAAAAGCCATCTACGGGCATTAGTAAAATTCCGCACACGAAAAAAACTTCGGGTGTGTTTGTTTGGGGGTTCGGATTTTGAGTTGGATTTGAATAGTAAAATTTTGAATTGAAATAGTGGTATGATGTGATATAAATAGGTGGTGATGTGATGTTTTGAATGTGAAATTAATTTATAATATAATAAAATAAAAAAATAAATGTTTGATTTGATGTTTTTTTAGGGAAAAAAATTGATGAATAGTAATTTTGGGATAGAATCCCACAACCCAACACACCCTCATGGATAAAATTATCCATAAAATCTCAAGGAAAGAAAATGGAGATACATGTCCTAATGTCAACATAATTATCAGGCAAACACTATTGCAGCGCAAAACAATCATAAGAATATACTTCTCTTTCCCTCTCTTAACCCACCTTGGTCCTTTAATATTTCAATATTACAAATTAACCTAAGAATCGAGACACTGTAGCTCACCTTTACCGCTCCAGTCCTACGATCAACCTCAACACCTACAGATTCCAGATTTAACCTTTTAGTGTTAGGAGCCCTGCCTGCAGCCATGGAAAAGACAATCATCGTTAGCTTAACACCAGAAGATTATGATAGATTAAACATCAACAATCGCGATCTGAAAGAAATAAGCTAAGTGTTCTCAACTCAAATTTATGAAAATATACACTTGGAAGTATAACAAATTGCTCGAGGAACTCCAGTTGTCACAGTGTAGTCCTCGCCGACAAGATATTAACATTAAATTATTGCATTGCACACATAGTAATTGAAAAGTGGCCTTAAATGACCTGTGGCAAAGAGTACGACATCTGCTGTGATTTCTTCACCATGATCAGTGCGAACCTTTATACCATCTTCCGTTTTAACCAGCTGCAGGATGAAATTTTCTCAGATGTACAAAATATTTGATTTGTCATTCTAAACAAAGTAACAGAAAGCACACAATGAAAGCGCCGACTCGTTGCAGGACATATTTCCAAGATCTTTTTCTTACTTTCCATTTTATTAAACCTTTTTATCTTTTATTATTCTCACAGGTAAACCAGATAGGTTGTTTTATGTTACAAATAGGCATACCTCAGTTAAGTTTGTCCTAGGATGCAAATTGACACCCCTGTTTTCCAGATTCCTGGCAACCACTGCTCGCATTTCATCATCAAAACCTCTGAAAAGATTTTGGACAAAATGAATTAGGCGCACTGCATTAACTAATGTGCTGAGCAAAGCTTACAGTCAAAATGAACAGATTTGGTGTAAGTATGAGTATGTCCTCATACTCATTTCTTTGCTTTGACCAAAATATCTTTAAAAAATGGTGCAAGAGTACAATCTGATTTCACGATACGAATTTTAAATATCTCGGGGGAAGAGAGAGAGAGAGAGTCCACAGTATGAATAGTTTAACCAATTCACGATTTAACTGTATAACTTCTTTGACAAGGGTATTAAAATAGTCTTATATAGCCGACCCAGCTAATTGAAACTATAAAATTATCCACTACCAGAACTGGTCTCCCCAGAAGTTGAGGAAAGAAACATTAGAACATAGTTTGTGGAGAAAGAATATGACTATTAGTGATTTAAATTAAAGTTACATATCAAATATTGCCACTGGTCTCTCTGTCATAAGAGTGCATAAAATGGGCACTTATTCGATATGTAAACACTACAGAAATTGTTAAATGGTAAATATCAGCATCTCAGCAATTAAGGGTTCAGTGATCTTCAAATTACATGCTTTCCAATACTATTTGAAGATAATAAAATAGCATGAAAACAATCAATTCAAATAACAAGGGGAAGAAAAAGGAATCCTTCTCTGAAACAATCTACTTTGTTAACGTTGTCTAATCCTATCCAAAATTCAATACACATTTCTCTATTGTGTGTTTCAACCAAAAATTGATGAATGTAAGTTGGTCAAATACCACCAAAAACAAGGAAAACACAAGAATATGTAATAAACAGCATTGGTGTTTGAAGTGCAATATGCCAAAGTATGGCAATACGTGGTTATATGTTAATTGTGTCTCTCATACGATTGCTATCAACCTGAAATTTTATGAGGGGATGCAAAATCAAAGCAAAGACAATTTTGTGTCTTTCACTAGCCATTGAACATGGTGACGAGGTGTATATGCTAGGGTTTAGCGCAAAAGACAAATCTCGTCAAACAAATTCAGCCTCGCATCTTCGGATCCCTTCATAGATTTAAGTGCCAACACTAGATTGTCGATTTTGTTGAGTTACACACATGGAACAAAGTACTCGTGGACAAATATCTTTGTGCAATTGTGAATTTTATGTGTTCTTATGTCTCACTATTACCAGAAGCTTTATTACAAGCAAAATAGCTAGCAAACCAAGGAGAATAAAAAATTCAAATCCAAACAATTTAGCACCTTAAAGGAAGTTCTTTTCTAAAACACAAATGCACCGTTGCACCCATCCCTCTCCATATTGAAGCAAACTCAACAGCAATATACCTACATTAAAAACAAAAGCCAACAAAATTATGTAAGCCTTCTAGTTGAACACATCGTAACAAAGCATCAAGAGTTATTGTACCCTCCACCGAGTATAACTGCTCTCTTGGGAAACTCCTCCAAGCTTAATGCCTCATCCGATGTTATAGCTAATTCCTATACAAGACCATATATGCCGAAATAAATTACAATGGGATTAGATATGCATCAAAAGCCATGAATCAAGAATGATCTACAGCAAGAAAAGATCCTAAGCTATGACAGGAAGAGATAACCATCATAGCAGGAAATATATATAAAATGGTGCATTTCACAGATACTATATGCTGATTGTATAAAGGATTCAGGTTCAAGACTTCAAGTAACAGTGCAGAGAGGCAGGAACAAGTTGTAAGGGAAAAAATAAAATATCAGAAAACTATTGACATCAGCACATGAGCATGATTAAAGTCAAAAAAAACAAAATATCAGGTAGTCAGTGAAATCTGCAAAATGTAGGCAAACCTGGCCGGGAATATTTATTCTCTGAGCTCTGCTACCAGTGGCAATGAGAATGTGTTTTGCCGTATAGCTTATTTTGGTTCCATCCAATTGGATAAGCTCGACTTCATTGGGACCTACAACTCTTCCCTCTCCTTCAAACAACTTCACTCCAGCATTAGAAAGTGTTCTCTTATAGAGTCCATTCAATCTGACTATTTCGTCTGTCTGCAAGTCAGCAACCAAAAGTGAATACGATGAGAGCAACATATGTATGTTCCAAACCAGGAATATAAAGGTCATCTGTAGATAGCCACTGAATGGATGAAAATAGAAAACAATTACACTGCAAATATTACTACACTGAGACAATCAATGTATGAATGCTTCTTTTTTTATTTTTCTTTCTTTTTTTAATCCTCATTAATCTTTCTAATAATATATTGCAAGGACGCTACATGAGATACAAGCGGCAATCATTCACGAGTTTGGCAAACACTCAGGACAGTTGTTAAAGCCTAAAGGATCACAGATGAATGATATCCGAATTATAACATTAAAGAATATACCTAATTAGTAACTTGATGCCCTGGTTTTGATATGATTCTAGATGTTTTACATGGTTATGAGGGTATGAAAAGGAGGGAGAGAGAGAATTAAGGGTTTTGCAGAGTATTATACATGTGAACATGCATAATTGTCAAGGGCATATTGACTCAAATACTTCTTTACTTGAATATTATAATTTAATTTTTGGAGTAGTACAACAGCCAGTTAGATCCTACTTACGTTTTCTCTTCCACTGTCAGTGCATAAAAATGTTTAAGTCAGATTCTCTTAAGTTATTGCAGATGAAGCATAACATTTATCCATAAAATAACTCTTTTGATAGACTAAATTGAAGACAAAAAAAAAATCAATTTTGAGGACAGAATTGAAAATCAAGAACCGGTTATATATCTAACATTTCAACTTATTGAAACATAACAGTTCACAATCTTTTTTATTTTACATGACTTTTGGCAGATGGCAGACTCATTTAATTCGATGTACGAATGGGAGAGTAATAAAATACTCTCTCCGTCCGGCTCTAAGGATCTCATTTACTTTTTGCGTGTTGATATTTGAATTAATTATTATATCAAAACGTAGTACAAATTAAGAAAAAATTGCAAAAATATTACCATTAGTGTCTTATAATACTAATAGAATGACATTTATACAAAAAAAAATATATACAAATATAAAAATAATTTTATTTTAAGTACAATGACGCAAAAAGTAAATGTAACCCTTAGAGACGGACGGAAGGAGTATTTTATATGAGAGATAACAAATATAAAACATTACAAGGAGAGTTCTCTAGTAGATATAAGTTTAATGGACAACCAGTATACATTTCCATGTTTATACCTTCTCTCCCATATCCTAACTATTTCAAAGCAATTATCAAAATAGGTAAGATTGCTAGTATCAAAACCTTGTCCGTCATTCCAATTTAAGCAAAACTGGCCCAAATATCACTTCCAGCATTTATTAAATTACAAAGCAAGATCCATACGTTACATGGGTGAAAAAGTACCTTAGAATGTGAAGAGAGAGTCGTAAAATGTGGATAATTAATTATTTACAAGCATCACAGAGTAACAGAACAAAACCACAGATGTTGTACTTACCTTCTTCTGTAAAAGCTTCTTCCAATTGAAATCGATGTTCTCATTCAGTTCCCAACCAAAATTCCTTGCATCCTAGAAAGAAACAAAATATATACATCGTCTATGAGATTAGGAAAATAACTTATATACATGTCAATACTAAATATAATAGAAATAAAACGATCTGAAGGGAAGCGAATAAAGCAAGCACATACACATTTCCGAGAATCAGAACTTGCCATATTATAAAGAGGAATACAAATAAATCTTTGTGCTGAGGATTCAATGCCACAACAGAAGAAAATAATAATAATAAAAAAATAATAATAATTGCAAGCTAATCGACACAGGTAAATTAAAAGAAAGAAATAAAAAATTATAATACAAGTGTATAATCATATTTTTAAGTTCAAAATTTTACCTCTAGTTCAGACCCATAAGAAGCACCATAGACCAAAATCTTTTTAGGAACACACCCTCGAATGACACACCTGAGATATGAAAAACATTAGTTCTTAGCTTCGTTTTCAATCTCATAAATCCCAAAATAGAAGCTCAAGGCCCCTCAACATACGAAAATGCTTCAACAACTGTATAAACTCGATGCTGAACCAGAATAAACAAAAAAATATCTTTTATATTCAACAATGAGTACTTTGAAAATAGCACAAAAATTGTAACTGGTCTTAGAATACTGATCCAGTGACAGCCAGATAATACAAACTGAATCCCAACACCGTCACTCCAAACTAACCAAGATGAAAGCGTCCACAAGTTACAAAATGCTCTAACCAAGTGTCCTTGAATAACAATTAAAAATGGTACCCAACATTCTCACACAAACAAACACTTATGCCATCACAACTTGGAGATAAAAGTCATTTTCGATTGTATTCAGCGAGAAACAAACAATACAGGATGGTTGGTCAGAATATTTAAAAAAAAAAAAAAAACTACACATTTAATAGAAATGTCATCATATAAGGTGCAGAAGAATGTGCGAGCCAAATGCAGTGAAGCAGCCACAGTTTTTGCATTAACTTACGTGCCACCCACTCCGCCAAGAACCTCGGAACTAATAGGATGAAATGGTAATTCACAGATTGCAACCTGGCAAACCATTAAATAGATTACATAAGCTTATCATGGAGTGTCTAATAAACATATTATCTACACCACACACAAAATTTTCTGGAAAACAAACACATAGCACTGTTTACATACTTTTTTGGAACTTTTGGCACAGTAAGTTTTTCCAAACAAATCACATTAAAAAAAATTTCTATCCCAAAAAATCACACATCAAATACTTAACTTTTTCACTATTCACAAAATTTTTCAGAACTGCAAAACTTCCAAACCTTTCAAAAGTTCTATCTAATTGAAGCCGTGCATTGTCAAGAGATCAAACCTTAGCCCCATATTGGGCGGAAAATCGAGAGGCCCGAACTCCACCACTGCCTGCCCCAATTACAAACAAGTCATAATCATATTGAATCTCCTGCTCATTGGCTTTGTCCAGCTCCCCATCGATAAGCATCTTCCTCGCCATTTCAGACAATTCTGTAAAAATTCACCCAAATGCAACAAAAATAAAACGCTTGAGCATAATCAACCACAGATCACGAGCAAATCATTATTTTAACTGCACAAAGAGGCTAATCAAATACCTTAATCAATCAACCAGATGAAATCCTTGAGAAAAATAAAACAACTATACTAACAACAGATAACCTCAACCAATCATCTAGACTGAATTTATTTCAAATAACCAAAGATAATCGGAGATTGGACCACTGACCCACATCTCAGCCAAAGTGAAAGAAAAAACAGAATAGGATTTGGGATCACTACTTTTATGCTTAAAATTAAGAAATAGACAATTATGGGCCAGTTTCGGTGTCCCTTTTCCTAGCGAGTTACCTCTTTACTTCTTCTGGGACAAATCTTTTGGAAAGAATGAAGAAAACAATGATAACCAGATCGACAGCAAGCAAAAGTCGGGGGATATAAGAAAACGACAGTTTTATGAAGGAAGGAAGGAATGCAGAGGTCGATTTCGTGTTGCCTTCTTGGAGTTGGAGCAGTGTTTTGGAGAAAATGTAGAGCCGAGTTGAATTGAATTGGATTGAATCCGGTTAGGGTTTTGGGAGTGATGATGATGACACTGACATTTGACAGTGATGATTGATAATACTTTTCAAGATTATACGCTAATATGAAACGCCTAGGCCAAGCCCGTCTACTCTTTAGAATTAATCAATGCCACAAAATCTTTATAAATAATCTATGAAAATAATAAAGACACGTGCACACACACATACGTAAAGAGTAATAATTTTAAATTTTTATTCAATATTCTAGTTTTAAAGTTTTTTAATAAATAGATAACTAATAGTTTTTATACAAAACATTGAAAGTTTTTTTTTTAAGTAGAAATATATAACATAATATTTTTACCTTTTATATTTTATATATAAATTAATTATATATGTAATATTTGCAATTTATATAAAAATTAAAAAATATTTTAATATTAATATAAATATTTTTAATATCATAGAAATAGATATTTTTAATAAGACAAACAAAAATAATAATATTAATATATATAGCTATTAACCATATTGTCCCTGCTCTATTTGTATGCATGTATTTTTTATTTTGAAATGATAATAGACAATTCTTTTTTCTATTAAAAAATAAAATAACATCAAAGCAAAAATAGATATGTTTTTTTTTGGACCACTTCTCTCGTTTTGCTGCCGGTCATCACCGCCACCACCATCGGAGTCGCTAATTGTAGCAAAACAAACCACGCTTTTAATAAAATACTATTCAACTCCACTAGGTAGACTTGCTGCTTCCACAACTGTTTCCACATCCCCACAAGCTGAGCCAATAGGATCACTGAGGCTAAGTTTGGAGCAATGACGATGGAGCACAGAATAAGACATACTTTGTGAAGACAAGTGTAACTTGGGATTCAGAAGCAATATAGAGTGGATCAAAAAGATGATTCTGGTAGAACTCTCGAACAATGACAAGTAATATCGATGTGTTTCATCCGGTCATGATGAACTGGATTTCGGCTTCAATGAAGGATTTCGACACCACAAATTGTTGTTTTGTTTTCCAAAAAACTAACGAACCACCTAAGAAGATACAATAACCACTTACTGGCCTTCTAGTATCAAGACAATTGTCTCAATCTGCATCACAAAAACCAGTAAGTTGCACAATACTATTGGAATGGAAGAACATTCCAAGATGAGAAGTATTCTGGAGATACTGGAGCATATAAAGAACGCCATTCCAATGGTCTTCAGTGGGACAATGCATGAACTGAACTCAATTGTTGAACACCAAAGCAAATGTCTAGTCTAGAAAAACAAAGGTATAGCAGTTTACCAATAATCCTCCGAAATAATTTGGGTTGAGCAAATAAAACTCCTTCATTTGACAGTTTTGTTTCATGAGGCAATGGAGTATAAGCATTTTTATTTACAGGAACAGACATATCAACAAGTAGATCATGAATGAATTTTAGACTGAATTACCAAGCAACCCGAGGTAGACATTTGAAATTCCAGACCAAGGTAAAAGGATGCCACTCTAAGATCCTTGATAGTAAACTTGGCATATAGATCCTTCTTCGTATGGAGAATTGGATGCTGGATCATTGTCTGCTATAAGGATAGCATCCACATACACAACTAGCACTGTAGTACCAACATCAGTAAATTTAACAAAGAGGCAATGATCATATTGAGTATAAGTAAAGCCAAGAGAACAAACAAAATTAGTTAAAGCTTTGTACCATTGTCGAGGAGCTTGCTTGAGTCCGTATATCAATTTTCGTAATCTGCAAGCCTGATTGGAAGAAGAAGATATGCTAGGAGAACAGTCCATATAGAGCTCTTCCTCAATGTCACCATGCAAAAAGGCATTATTGACATCCAATTTATGCAAATTCCACTGCAAGGTTGTTGCAAGAGCAATAACTAATCTGACTGTGACATGCTTTGAAACAGAGGTGAAAGAGTCATGGAAATGCTCTTTATACTTCTGAGTATAGCCCTTTGCAACAAGTCTAGCCTTATACTTGCTAATGGTGCCATCTGGATTGTACTTTATTTGATAAATCCATCAACAACCAATTGGTTTCTTAGATCCAGAAGTATCAACCAAATCCCAAGTATGATTGGAGACAAAAGCATTAACTTTTGCATCTATTGTTTGCTGCCAAACAGGAAATTTACATGTCTCATTGTAACTTTAGGGCAAGGCAGTATCCATAGCATGTATCACACAATCTTTGAATTTTGAAGGTGGTTTCTTTATCCTCGCAGGTCTGCATAATTCCACCTAATTATGGGCAGAGAAATAAGGCTTTGACTGACTAACAGAAGAGTCAGACATATAATTAGGTGATGAAGTAGCATGATCAACATCCATGTGTGATGATGCAGAGTATCAGCAACCATAGGTGAAGAGTCTGCTGCAAAAGAAGTAGAAACCAAATCATGATGTTTAAGAGGTATCACTAGAAGAGAAAGCTTAGTGTCGGCAGAAAAACTGGGAGTGGAAGTCTTAGCTGAAGATGAACTTAGAAAGGGATAAATGGAATCGTAAAATATCACATCCCTTGAAATGCATATCTTATGCCCAATCAAGGATTTTATATCCCTTCTGTGTATTGTTGTAGCCCAAAAAACTTCCTTTAACTCCTCTAGGATCAAATTTCCCAACTTAGGACTAGTATCCTTCATATAACACAAGCAACTAAAGACATGCAGATTGTTTTAGTTAGGATCCTTATTGTAGAGTAAAGAATAGGGTGATTTCCATCCTAATTTTCTAGAGGGTGTTCTGTTGATAAGATATACCGATGTTAAGATAGCTTCATTCCAGTAGAATTTAGGAACCTTGGAATGATTAAACAAACTTCTAGCCACTTCAATAAGGTGTTTATGCTTCGTCTCAACTCTGCCATTTTGCTAGGGAGTATAGACACATGTCTGTTGATGAACAATTCCCAAGTTATAGAAAAGTTCTTCACAATGATGATTGCAAAAATTTGTCCCATTGTCGGTCGTTACCACCTTGACCTTCCTGAAAAATTGAGTTTCAACATGAACAAAGAATTTAGTGAGTGTGTTTGATGTCTCATACATGTGTTTAAGGATATACACCCATGTTTCCCTGGAATAAATATAAAAAATGGTTAGCATATAAGTAACACAAGTGGTGCTGGGATGGGAAAAGGGACCCCAAAGATCCATATACAGTGGATCAAATAATGCACTAGTATGAGACTCACTCATTTTTTTAAGGTAATTTATGGAATTTAGTACTAGAACAAGTATCATATGGTGAACGACTTTTAGCAGAAAAATGAATTCCAATATGTTTCATAACCTTCCAAGGTGGATGACCAAGTTTACAATGTCATAATACAAATTTTGCATCATCAACTGATAACAATGTAGAACCATATTATTATACAAAATTGTATCATAAAGATATAAAATGGAATGCAGATGAGCTGTAAGCAATGTCTGTCTAGTCTTCAAATCCTGCAATAGACAGTACTTTGAATCAAATATGGTTGTACATTTAAGATCCAAAATAAGTCTTTTGATAGAGACAGGATTAAAGATCAAGTCAGGTATATAAAACACCCTTGTAAGCCTCACATATGAATTCAGTTGAACATTTTTTCAGTAAGATTTGTCATCTTAGATGAATCATCCAGCAGAAGTATCGCATTTGGTGTATCAACTTGCTTTATATCTGTCATAATGAATAAATTGGAACACAAATGGCAAGAGGCACTTGTGTTCATTATCCATTCGGTGACACTTAAAGGATTCACAGAAGAAGTGTTTGTATAAGTGAAGGCACTACCAGAAAAGTCCACAGGAGAATGAGCAGCAATTCCTCCCATCATCGTCTTAAACAACTCTTCAAAAAAAATTTTAGTAAGGTAATTAGGAGTCGAAACCACTGCAGAAGCAGACACATAAGTAACCATTTTACCCTTTCTCTTTTCCATCATCTCCTTATACCAATCTGGTTCTCCATACAACTTAAAACATGTTTCCTTAGAGTGACCAGTCCTCTTACATTAACTACAAACTACTGTAAAGTTCTGCTTTTTTCTTATAGCCTTTACCTTAGGATCATATTTAAAGTCAGTAGCAACTAAAGCATGTTGAACTTGTTGAGTATCATTCATAGTTTTTGTTTGCATCTCAACATTGCACATCATACCATACACCTTACTTATAGATGGAAGATGATCAATCATCATCAATTGGTTGCACGCATGTTCAAAAGAAGCATTCAATCCCATAAGAAAGTGTTGCAACAACACATTGTCATCCTCTAGTTTCAAAATTTTCAATATAGATGGATCATTACACTTAGGAAATGGCATAATAGCTCTAAAATCACTCCATAGAGACTTCAAAATTACTAAAGTACTCAGTAACAGTAGAGTTACCTTGAATTAGATTAGAGATCTTTTTTTAAAAAAAAAAAAAAGTATTTGAAGGCCAGTAACTCGGCCAAATCTGTCCTCGAGTTCAAGCCAGGGATCTCTAGCTGTGGATATATGCACAAACGACCTTGCTATAGCAGAATCAATTGAGTTCTTCAACCAAGATAACACTAGGTTGTTAGCTCGTTTCCAATATTTATAATTTGAATCTGAGCTAGACAATGGTAAAATTGAACCATCAATGAAATCATCTTTGAGCTTACAGCTCAAGGCAGCTTGAACAGTAACCTTCCACGCAATCCAATTGTTGGAATCAAGCAAAACACTCAGTAGAGAAAGACCGGGTTGATCGCCAGCACCGATGGCAAATTCCTCTCTAATTGATTGCACCTGAGCTCGTACCTGAGATGTGGGAGTGATTTCAGAATATTCGAAAGACATGATGGAGAAAAAATAAGCGATCAGAATCAAAACTGCTCTGATACCATGTAGCAGAAGAGACCACGAAGAAGAATAAAATATGGAAATTTTGATTTTATTAATTTTTTATATTAAACTGTACAATATCCAAGGTTATTTATATACAAGAGGAGTTAGGGACGTGAAAGACAACTAGCATAAATAAACAAACAAACAAAAAACACACTTTTAATAAAATACTACCCAACTCCACTGAGTAGACTTGCCGCTTCCACAACTGCTTCCACACTGAGTCTAGACCGGCAAGTGCCCTAACTTTTGCAGTCGGCGGCGTGTGCAATCAGCCTACGCTGAAATTTGATTCCACACGCGAGTCACTGTGTCTCCATTTGCAGCACTGTCCGCTCGTCACCCCCACCACCATGCTCCACCTCATTGAGACCGTCCGGCCCCAAGAATTTCTCGGTTGTCGACGGCACGTCCAGTCACCTCCCGCCGGAGTTCAGTTTTGCCAGTATTTGTGTCGGTCCAGCCACCTTCGGCGAGCATTTTTCGGGTCCGAAATCTGGTCCAATTTTTGGCATCGTGGGGTCGAATTTTGATTTTGACACTAATTTTATTTTGTTTTTGTTTCTTTGTTTTGGGCTCTAATTTGAGATTTGATTTGGTAAGATTTGCAGAACTATTGGAGCTGAGCTAATGTTATTTTATTTTGAAGATTTATCATAAAGCGTAGTGTTTCATCTACAGGTAATACTCGTTGGTATTTTGATCCCACATCTGTAATCATATGACTTCTAATTTCAAACTTTTGTATTCTCTTACTCCCACTACGGTTTTACCTCCTATACACATTGTGACTTATATATATGCATATAATTCACACCGGTGATATTTCAACATCATTCTTATTTTTTACTGTCATTTATTGTATTCTTCAATTAGCCTTAAACATTATTTCAATTGGTCAGTTGGTTGAGTAGGGACTTATTATTACCTTCTCATCTTCTGGTGTGTAGGTTTAAGATTCACAAATAGGCCAGCTTGTTAGGACGGGATGGAAAATTGATCAATTATTTGAGCTCAATCACCTTTTGATAACGATGATTTTTTTATTTATTACAGGGAATTTGTAGTGAAAATAGAGTGAATTGTGCAATATTGTGCATGGTCATATATAGATTAAGAAATGAAGTTGTAGACCCTGAATCGCGTATCATAATTATTTACACTCTTTAACTTATGAGTTTCTAGGTCGAACACAAGGATTTTAAGTCGTGAAATTTTCTCAAGAACAGAGATGGTGATGCACAACGGAAAAGCAGTAAGAGACTCGCTTACAAGTGAGCCAAAAAAAATCAAATTACAATAAGACAGAATTAAATAAAGCGGGTAAAAGTGAGCAGTTAGGTGAGCGAGAGTGGGGATGGCGAGCGATAAAGGTAGTGAGAGCGGCAAGCGAACAGAGACAAAATGATGAAATGACAATGATATATATATGCTAAGTGAGTGGTAGGGAATGACCAGATAATGTTGTGTGTGATTTGTGCATTTCTTAATGGCTAGAATTTCATGGACAAAATGAGCGAATGACATTAACGAATAAGCAAAAATTATATATATACACACGTAAGTGACATAATATATGAATGTAATCATACAAGCAGATTTACACAGAACTTGAATCGCTGATACTTGACCGTAAGGGATTTACAGCAAGACTTCAATGACGCCCAAAATTAAAACATTATACACAAGAAATTCTATTGTCACTAGACATCTTTGTGACCCGATAGATAGACAAACGCCTTAATTATTCTAATTTATGTCTCATTAGTGGCTTCACCCTTCTATTACACACTTCTTTAATCAAAACTGAATTCTGTTCAAAAATTAAGCAGATCGACAAGGCTCCCGCGTACTTAATAAATACAACGTGAAACTAGGCTCAGATAATTGATTCTTCTATGTTTTTTCTCACCGACACATAATTCCAAAATTAATCATGCTAATACAAATATGAAGAAGGGAAAGAAGCGAGTATGAAGAAATCTTGATATTTCATCACTTACTAAAGAAAACAATAAAAAATTAAATTACAAAAATAGTAAATCAAAAAAAGGAACAAAACAACTTATCTAAAAAGCAATAATGTGCGCGGCCAGAGAAGGAGAAAACCTCAACTCCTCTGGCCATTCCTGCAGGAGAATTCCTTTACAGGGTTAGAACTCTCGGAAGGCAAGAAAACAGCATAAAAGAATAATGCTAATGTAGTGTAGTGTATACTCTGATGTGAGTATATTTTATAAAAGAAATCTGACCCTATTTATAGCTAGAAAGGACGGCAGCTGTGAGTAGTTGAGAAGTAGCAAAAACTGTTGAGCAGTTAGACAGTTGTTGGCGGTTATTTAGTTAGAGCAGTTGCACTTGGCCATAACTCTCAGGGCGGTCGCTTCGCTTGCTTGGGCATATAAGGGCGCAGACCTTCCTCGCTTTCCCAGGTGGCTAGAGGGCATCATCGCAACTCAAATGATATTGTCGTCGCTGGCTAGTATTGGAATGGCTTCACCGCTGAGAGATGGACACTTAGGCATTTTTCTGGAATGCTATACTCTCGCTTCAGAAGCGGTGGATGCTGGTCAATGGTGCTGGCTCGAGTGGAAAGCGTCACTTATCGAGCGGAAGGCGCCGTCGCTTGATTTTCGAAACTTAGCTTTTCTGGACCAGAAATATCGCTGAAAATGGCCAAAAACATCAATAATCTCAACATATAGGTTCTGGATCATGCCAAGCGAAATAAATCAATAAAGTATGCCATATATCAGGTATTGTGATGGTTTTCACACCAAAATTCAAGTAATACATAGTTTTGTCAAACGAAGAATATACTATTATTTGGAGTTATCACCTTCATATTCCACCCCCTTAATCCTTTCAGTTGTAGTTTCATCCCCTCATTTTAGTTATTAGCGGCATCATATGTTAGGACTAGATCTGACAATGAATCGATTCGTGTCGGATTGAATACTTTAAACAGATTAAATCACCCAACTTTAACCCAATCCGTTTATTATCATGTCAGGTTCGTGTTAATTGATTTATTATCGTGTCGGATTCGTATTGACTCGTATACATAAGTGGGTCAAAACCCTTGATTCAAATCCATTTACTTTTTTTTTGAATTATCATGTTGTTATTTTTATCGATTCTAATATAATGTGTACGGTAAATTATATTAAATTAATTAAGATTGAACTTAGTTTAAATTAATGTATGGATTAATTATCAAATTATAATAATTATATATATATATAATAAATATATTAATTAATATTAATATATGATAACCGGATTGTCGTGTCAGATGCGAGTTGAGGACCTCAATCCTAACATGATGCATTTATTATTGTGTCAGATTTATGTTAACCCGTATATATAATCGGATCAAAATCCTTGACCCAAACATAAATATTTCGTGTCAGGTTTGTATCGAGTTGTCGTGTCGTGTGATTTTTTCTATAATTCTTTATGACATGCATCTCCAACTAAACTCCGATCTCTCATCAATATACGTGTCTTAGGTCCTATGCGTCTTGAGTTGTTTGATTTTGTGCATTGTAAGCTTGAAAAAAGTCCGCTCTTCATTTTTCTCAAAGTCTCTTTGTCATTGATAAACTTTTTTTTTGGGTACATTCGGATATTTGAGGGCCGTCACCAGTAGGATCAATAAATAGGTATAAATTTTTTATAAATTTTGTTGATAAATTTCCTAGTTTTATCTGGATTTACTTTATGAAACAACACTTTGATCTTATGTGCATTTATATTACATTGGTCAAAATGATACATATTCAGTTTCTTGTATTATCCAAATATTGCATACTAATAATACCCTAGAGTATAATAACTTTGTATTTTTCAGTTTTCTTTTTGTTTAGGGTACTTCCATTCAACGACATGTCCATATGCATCCCAAAAAAATGGTCGGGCATAGCGTAAACATCATCACATCCTCGATATAGTTCGTCTGCTTCTTCTATCCACCTCATATTCTTATCGCTATTGGGGAGGAGCCGTTCTTGCTTCCGTCTACACCATAAAAGGTTACCTTTCTCTGCTCTTCATGGTGTCACTCATTTTGAAAAGATCTTTGGTCAGTCCCCCAATTACTCTTTTATCCATCCATTTGGTTGCTTTTGTTTTGTCCCTCTTCCATCTCAAGAACATAACAAGATTGAACTGTGAGCTCATTTGTGTTGCTTCTTGGGTTATGGGGTAGAGTATTGAGATTATCAATGCTGGGATCCTATGTCTAAGCATCTTCATATCTCTCATCATGTCACTTCGTGGAGCATTAGATGTTCTCATCGGTGTCTAAATTCAATGTCATCTCACCTCGCCTCTCAGTTATTCACCCACAATCTCTCTCTATTTTTCCTACTTTTGTAGGTCCTAAGCTCACATCTACTGCTCTCGATACAGTCTCGTTGTCCTTGTCTCCTACAAAGGATCTGTCTGTGCTTCTTGAACTAGGGCCCAAGCCTTCTCTTGATGTCCGTTCTACCACTCTCTGTCGATCTACTCATGTAAGTCAGCCCCCCACTCACCTCCTTGATTATCAATACTATTTTTTCATATTGTCACACCAAGAATTCAAGTCTTTTTGGAAGGTGAATACTGACCCTTTGTAGTGGCAAACTATATCAAAGGAAATACACGCTCTTGAGAAGACAAACATTTGGGATCTTGTGACTCTACCGACGGGCAAACACTCGATTTGGTGCAAGTGGGTCTACAAAATTAAGATTCACTCAAATGGTTCGATTGAGAGCAAAATTGGTCTTGGAGCGAAGGGCTACTCTTAGAAGTATGATGTTGACTATGAGAAAACATTTTCTCTTATTACTCGCCTTACCATTATTCAGTGTTTACTTGTAATTGTTGTTGTTTATTGGTGGTTACTTTTTCAATTGAGTTTCAAAAATACCTTATTGCATGGAAACTTGACTGAGGATGTCTACATGAGTCATTCTCCAGGTATTGAGATTTCCAATAAGGTATATAAACTGTGTCAGGCTCTCTATGGTATGAAATAGACACTTTGTGCTTGGTGTGCCAAATTAAGCTCTCTTAGTATTCATGATTAGGCTCTCTTCATTCGTCGGAGCTCTTCTGGAATTATTATGCTATTATTGTAAGTTGAAGATATAATTTTCATTAGGGACAACAACTATGGTATTTCTTATTTGTAGGGCTTACCTTCGTCAACATTTTAAGATAAACTGTCTTGGTCATCTTCGCTATTTTTTAGGACTTGAGATTTCTGATACTTTAGATGACTTCTTCTTGTCTCAAGCCAAGTATACGTCTAATCTTATCTCCCATGCTGGCCTAATTCATAGCAAGGTCACCTTCACACCTCATGAGGCGAACAGTCGTCTCACCCCTTGCGATGACTCTATGCTTGACGACCTGACTCTTTGTCGTCAGCTGGTTGGATCCTTGATTTATCTCACAATCTCTCGTCCTAACATAGTCTATGTCATTCATAGGGGTGGGCAAAAAAACCGAACCGTCGAACCGCTGAATCGAACGGAACCGAACTGAATTTTCGGTTAAGCGAGCAAATTTGATTCGAATACAAATACTGCATATTTGATATTTGTTCGGTTCGAATCGGTTTCGGTTTTTGATATTTTTTCGATTCGGTTTTGGTTCGAATAATTAAAATATTTGCAAATATTTTTAAAAATTTCGGTTCGATTCGAATTATTTGCAAATATTGCAAATATTTTTGGTTAACCGAAATTTTCAGTTCGGATACGGTTCGCAATTTCGGATATTTGTTTGATTTGGTTCGAATATCAAATATCTCTATATTTGCAAATATCCGAACCGTGCCCACCCCTAGTCATCCATATTGTTAATCAATTTGTGACTGCTCTGCAGACTATACATTATTCTACAGCGCTTCATATTATTCGCTATGTTAAGGGTACGTTTCTTCATAGTCTATAATTTTCAGCTCACTCGTCCTTAGTTTGTTCATGGTCTATAATTTTCAGCTCACTCGTCCTTAGTTCTTGCGAGCTACTCTGATACAGATTGGGCGGGTGGTCACACAGGTCATCGATCTACTATTAACTTATGTTTCTTTCTTGGTAACTCTCTGATTAAGAAGTAGACAATCACTCTAAGTCTAGTGTTAAGTTCGAGTATCGTGCTCTCGCCACATCCGAACTTCTGTGGCTTCATTGGTTATTGTCTGATCTTAATGTCCCTCAGTCCGTATCTACTACTCTTCATTGCGACAGTCGGATGCCATATAGATTGCGCACAATGATATTTTCTACGAGCGTACAAAACATATTAAAATTTTTTGTCATTTTGTGAGACAACATGTGGTTGCCACCCTCAGTCCGTATCTACTAATCTTCATTGCTACAATCGGAGTGTCTTACAGATTGCGCACAATGATTTTTTCTACGAGCGCACGAAATATATTGAATTTTGTTGTCATTTTGTGAGGCAACATGTGATTACCAAGACTTTTCTATTGCGTTTAATCCCCGCCAAAGATCAACCGACATATTTCAATCACCATATCTCTTTATGAATCATTTTCATATTCTCTTTTCATATTCTCTTACGCTAAGTTGGTACTTACAGCACCACCTTGGAGTTTAAAGGATGTTAGTATATATATATTACTCTATATTTATGTATATATAAATATTGACCATATTGCTCCTCCCTTGTATTCATATACGTATTTTATTAGAATGACAATAGACAATTTTTTCACTAAAAGTAACAAATAAAAATAGTACTTTCAATTGAAACTAGAGCTGCTTTTGTCCGCGGAGGCGCTACCTACCAAACCAACTTTTGGATTCAATAGAGCCCGTTGCATCGCCCATATCGCGAGGGGCCTCATGTATATCAAAGATCGGAAATTGCCATTGGTAGTCCAACCTTCCGGAGTTTGAAACGAGTATCTGAAATAAACCATACGTAAGAAAGACATCACTAATTCGGACGGACATTGCGACACAATAGTCCAAAATAAGACATTGTACTTGGTAGTATACACCCCGTTAGGTTAGGAGGTCTTGTTTTAATTTTAGCCCAAAGATATCCTACTTCCATATATACATATTTCTATTCGGGAAAATACTTTTATAGCTAAATCCTGCAAAAAAACAAGAAGAAAAAACTTAAAATGCGTACCCGAATCCCTCCTCGGACCAGCCGGTGATGAATATCCCTGCCGCCGTGGCAAACGCCTGCTCCGTCATTCCGGCATGAATCATCGTAGCCGCAGCTGCATATGTCACGCCGGTCCATATCTCCCGCGACTGCATACACGTATCGTCCACCTTTCCGGTAGGATGCATTCCATTCACTGCACCCATCCGGCCCTCCCCAACTTTCATCACATTGAAGTCGTATATTTTCTGCAGAGAACTCCGGATCTTGCAGTCGTCGAAAAGATCTGGAAGCCCTGAAGCTGCAGTGTACCACTGCCCCGCGAGCTGATCAGCTTGGATCGATTTGCTGTTACTGCTCGATCCGCTGTCATAGTTGAAATAAGAACCGTTCCAAAGTTTCGCTACATACGCAGATTTGGCCTTGAGAAATGTGTTCTTGCATTTGTCAGCAAATTCCAGGTGGCCTAACTGCTGGGCCATTGCTGCCGCGGCTTGAAGAGCAGCAAGCCATAAGGAACCACAGTAAGCACTTATGCCGTGAACGGTCCATGTATCGTATGTCTGATCAGGAAAGCCGTCGTTTTCAATCAGACCGTCGTTGTCCCTGTCGAATTGCTCCATGTACTCAATGGCAGCACGAATTGCGGGCCAAACATCAACTCCGAAAGAGAGATCTTCGGTCGCAGCAAAATCTCTATATACCTGAAGAATGAACTTCGGGTTCAGATCCTTCCACCGGCTCGTGTCGTGTATGTTGTAAGCGTTCATTTCATGCCACGGATCGTGGGTACCGAGATCGTGCGGGACAGCGCCTTTCACCTTGCGTATTCCCCAGTTTCCCTCGGCCAAAAACTTCACTTTCCTCGTATCCTCGGATAATACGGCAGCTGCAAACTCGCGCTGGATGCTAAGCTCGATTTTCGGAAAGAGCTCTAGCAGGGCGAATGATGCGTAGAAATGCACATCATAAGTACACCACATTATATATTCGATGCCTTCGAGATATAGAAACCTGCCCACTTCATTGTTGCTGTTCTCTTGCTCGTAACCCTTTTCACAGGTGCTCGGCTTGTCTTTGCCTGATGTAATTCCGGTAGATCTTTCCCCACTTTCTGCCGGATCGATGTTTAGTGAAGCATCCAATGTGTTTTGAGCAGCATCTTTATTAATCACAGTTGATCTGTGAACTATTCTTCCCTCGGATTTTCTGTGGATTTCTGTGATTATCGACTTGATACCACTCGAGTCCTCAGCTAGCAAGCGTGAATCTATACACCAACATCAAAATTGCACGAAGGAAATATTCCATCGAATTAAAATAATAAGACCAGCTTCAGATGCGATCATACCGATCCAAACTGTTGCCCCCGCCACAAGAAAATATAGCTCATTGAATAAAGTAAACTTGTACCTGCAAAGCACCGAATGTGTTTGAATCCATTAGTTTAAATTAGACTATATTCAAGAAATGTACTTTATTACCATGTGTTCGGAATTTTGGAGCCGGATTTTATTTGAACAGTCAATATATTTACTCCAAACCATGTTCATATACAAACTTACGAGTAAATCTACAAAGTCAACTGAATTAAACGTAGATACAGCCATACAGGTTTTGGAAAATATCATTGAAATACAATCATTGTCTACTTTTACTGCATCACACCAATCGAATTAATTAAATCTTACGTTTATGTATACACAAATTTTAACCAGATAATCATGAGAGAGAGCACGATTATAAAAATATCAGAGGGAGACAACATATTTCTTATGAGAAGAAAGAAAAGAACACAGTACCAAGCCTTACTTACCATTCGGGCAGTCGGTTATCTGTAAGAACAGGTTTTTGCCATTTTACAATCTCTTCTTCCCACAGCACATAATCTTAAAAGTACCCAAACACAAGAAAGTGAAATGCAGTAATAGATGCTAGCATAAAACAATTGCCCAGAAAACAAAATTGCAAAGAACAAATCAACGAAACGCGAGATATAAAATGCAGCACATAGAATCAAGCAGCTATTCATAGAGCTAAGTATACTCACTGGTAAGAGCATCATGCACTATGTCCTTAGCTGCAGTTCGGGAAGTACCGTAGAATTTAGTGTACCGCCTGCACTTCCAATGGAATAGAACAGACCATATACATTGAGAAACAGATGTAGTTATAATTCCACAGTGAAAAACAAACTATAGTTTATGCAACAGTTAATATTCATTGAAAGATATGATGTGAACCTACATTTTTTCTGTAAGTACACGTTAATTATTGTTATTATTATTATTTCATCAATACTAATGGCTATCATAAAATGGGCTTAAATTACTAATATTAGACCATTCGATCAACACTTTATGTGAAAATGTGCAATTTAGCCTTCAATACCAAATAAAGCAACAGATACTGAAGAATACATTTTTTTTCCCTTCTTTTAGCAAAGTAAGGTGTCACGAAAGAAGTTAATAAGCAACTCTTATTATACACACAATCCCATTGTAAACCTAAAACAATAGGAAAAAATTTACCTATAGTAGGACTTGCCCTTGCAAAATTTGACTTTAGGCGAAGACCAAGCAATTGCAAATGCAACTGTGCATTTTCCGTGAGGTTCAACGCATGTAGAAGCTGAGACTGCAGCACAAGGAGTTTCTCCTGGAGATGATGGCATGCTAGGCACCTTGCAGAAATTCTCTTGGTTGAAGCTGCCATCCTAGAGATTTAGAAAATTTATTTTTAACGTCAAAAGCGATGAAGAAACACAATAAACAAATGAACTAAGTTCTAACATCATGCCAAGCCAAGCCAAATTAAATGTTCGACGGAAAACACGTATACGTAGTAATTTAACCTGCACCATTTTTCCCCACATATCTTTGGCAGTTATGCAACATCCTTCGTTCAGGCCGAAACAGGGCAAAACTGATACACTCACATTCTGAGTTTCACATGCAGCAATTGAATATGTGACAGGAGGGTTATTTTTTGCAGTTCTGCAATCAATAAATGCTGTTAAAAATACATTGTTTTTCAAGTATCCAAAATGCACTCAATACCATAAGCATCAAGCAATAGGCAAGCACACAAAATTCTCAACGTTAATGGCTTTATTCAGATGAATAAAGCAGTCATGCAGAAAGAAGTGAAATATGACTGTTGATTACCTCAAACAGAGAGCTTTACCAATCAACAACTCGTCAAATAATCAGTCAGCGTGGTTTGCACATTGAATAAAGTTCAGTATCAAAGAATAGATTTATAGTGATGTAGAACTTTTGCCAAACGGCTCAATGACCAAAGGGGACTTCTCACACAAGCACTCAACAAACATAATGAAGCTTATTCCTGTATGAAGAGAAGGACTCAGGCATCCAATGAATCCACGCATAGCAGGCATACTAAAGATGCAATCTAAATTTAACGAGCAAAACAAACAAACAGAGAAGCAATCTCTCAAACTCTTCAAGGTCAAACTTCAAACTTGTTTGATTCGTGCACCAATGGAACACCAAATGGAGTGTTAGGTACTCACTGGGAGCATGAACGAGTACTAGCTGCATTAGGGTGGGTTAAAACTATAAATAGTTTCTCCAGGTATCATTGACTATTTTAACTTGCAACGTAGCATTGCCAAGTTTTTCAACAAACAAATTGACTTATATATTCCTACATTTTTTTTTTCAATGGGGAAAAGAATTGCACTTGTCACACATCCTAGATTTACCTAATTCAACACTAAGGCACTTGGAAAAATAAATGCAAACCAACCGTCATACTAAAGTAGAAAGTATGATCACTTGCTTGTGATGTAGCAGCACACCCGAAACTCCATCTTCACCACTGGAAAAAGTTCACAGAAAAGGCAGAAGAAACACAGGTCATGATACAGAATCATAATGAATAAAAGATCGAAACTAGACTGTAACATATACATACACAAATGGCTCGTTGACATGACCTCCTGATAGATGTGAGATACCTCCAACAGAATTCTGCAACAAAAAACGGTCAACCAACTGATCATGTGCACAAAGACATATTTGCCTCATTTTAACAACAATCAGCACACGAAAAGACTTACGGCCCAGGTAAAAAGAAGGCTGACTTTTGCCCTATCCTTTCCCGTATTTGCCAACTACATGGTAAATAAATGAAGCAATGAAAGCAAGGAAAAGAAACATAATCCTCAAATTTTTTAAGATTTATAGCAAGCTGTGGCGGTCTGATACTACATACTTCCACCTATATATAATATGTAAAATTAATTACTATCATAAAACATTCACATTTATATTTAGTGTGAGAAGATATAAATTAAGCTAAAAATTTCTGATGTTGATTATTGAAGATTCAAGAATGAAATAATATATTCCCCTGGAGTTTAAACTTCTATTTAGATGAAATGTAGTGATTAAAGATGACAATGTCAAGACTTAGCGGGGAAGCATGTGTTCAAGGTTATGAGGCTCTTATAAAGCAGTGGGCTGATTTGGTTTCAATTAGCTGCATCACTTTTTACCAATTGGAGTAATCAAGCAATCATATTACTACCAACTCCATAGTGTAAAAAGAACCACAAATACACACACACACACAGACACATATATATACATATATAATTGTGTTGATGTAATTTTTCAACAAAAATAAAGTAAAATTCAAAGATATAGAGAATATCCTTAAACTTGATTAATTAGTGCCTGAGATTAGGAATCTCTAAACACTGTATGGTACAGAAAATAAACTGGAAAATAAAAGACTGAAATTTAAAGTGGTGATCCCCAAATCTGACTTTGCTTTGTTGAAGTTGATTGAAGATGCCTTGCCAAATGATGATCCAAATCCTTAAATATTCTCTGGGAAACCGTACTGAAAACCGTCACCCGAACGGTTACAACGTCTCCTTCCCAACCGTCTTCCAACCCTTCTCCTGCTGACACGTGTCCTCAGCAGACCGAAATTATCCCTGTATTTCACTCTTTGAGCCGACCACAGACCTTCCGCCCTTTAGGCCCGACTGCCAATCTACAACCGTATTGGTCCGACTGCCAATCCTCCCGACTTGCAAACCATCTGACTTGTTTGGATTAACTACAGACATCCCGACTAACAAACCATCCGATTTGTTGGTCCTGCCGCAGAGTTCCGACCTGAGAACTTCCCGACCTGAGGCCTCCCGACCTGCGGACTTCCCGTCCTGAAGGCCTCCCGACCTGCGGACTTCCCGTCCTGAGGGCCTCCCGACCTGCGGACTTCCCGTCCTGATGACTTTCCGTCTTGAGGACCTCCCGACCTGAAGACCTTCCGATCTGAGGTCTTTCCGTCTTGAGGACCTACCGACTTGAGGTCCTTCCGTCCTGATGACTTTCCGTCTTGAGGACCTCCCGACCTGAAGACCTTCCGACCTGAGGTCTTTCCGTCTTGAGGACCTACCAACCTGAGGTCCTTCCGTCCTGATGACTTTCCGTCTTGAGGACCTCCCGACCTGAAGACCTTCCGACCTGAGGTCTTTCCGTCTTGAGGACCTACCGACCTGAAGACCTTCCGACCTGAGGTCTTTCCGTCTTGAGGACCTCCCGACCTGAAGTCCTTCCGTCCTGAGGACTTTCCGTAGAAATAAACCTATTTTCCTTGAGCCGGTTCAACCAATTCTATTGCCAGGCCCATTCTTCTTTTTACCTTGGGCTTTTAACCTAACTCTAAATTTCGTACGTAACAACTTGCCCGCCGCCAAGGGACTTTCAAACGCCATTTAACAATCGATGTTTGGAAGTTCATAAATCATCACCCTCTTGAAACATTCCCTTAGCAACTGCACCAGTTACTGCAACACTCCTGATTAACAGTCTATCCTGGATAATCAAATTACCAATGAGCAGCGTCTGCTTGAGAAGTATACAAAGAACGAGGCCGAATTGGATCAAGAGCTGAAAACCCAAGCTCGATCCCAATTCATCAGAAGATATCAGACGGCTGCTAATACCAGAAGGTTATCCAGGGATGAAGTCAAATGGACACATATAAAAACTGCCCTAGGGGCACTTTTGTAATACTTCCCCCTCTGTAACAACATTTGACTTAGTAATATATTGTTCCTTCTTTTCTCAAAACAAGGATCACCTTTCAATTTCCAACTTTGTAGGAACCGAAACAAACTCCTTCCTTAAAAGAACACTGTTTCTCACATTTTAAGAAACACATTCCAGGGCATATTTTGAAAACCAAAACACTTGAAGTGTTAACAAACATGGCGAATGACCGACCTCATGTTCCATCAAGCAACTGGGAAGGTGTTCTTCAACCCTTCTTTGTGGGTAATCACCCTATTGGAGGCCATGCAGAAGACTTGTTACATATACTCAAGCAACTAGACTTCAAATTCCGATTCTCCCAACGAGGTAGAAGAACCATTCATCGCGTCATCCGCCTAATGGAAAAAATCATTGAGGGGTATGAACCTCTTCGTGACATCCTTGGTCGCATTCCTGACCTCCATCATCACATGGAAATGATTGAAAATCACGCAGCAACCATACTTCCAGATCTTGGTTGGGATAATATCTTTTCCAATCAACGAAAAGTCTTTTCAAGATTGCGTACCATTGTTGACCGTGAATATCAAGCCATAACAGACATGCAAGCACGTACCAATCAAGATTTAGATGAAATGCAAAGCCAATGGGAGAGGTACTGACCAGATTTGGAAGATCTTATTGAAGAAGAACCAGAACTAATATCCACTCACTGGGATGAAAATTCTGATTCAGAGGCAGAAAATTTCTCACAAATACATGATGACTAACAGAAATGAACCTTTAAACAGGTTCGAACCCCACAAATGGGTTCTGAATAATATTTTGTTTCAGGCAGTTTTGTTATCTGAAAAGGCAGGATAATACCTCTTCAGATATTTAGCATTAATACAATCATGTACTCTTCTACCTTCATGATTTACAATAATGAAAGCGCCATTCCCAATATCTTTTTGAACAATGTATGGTCCTTCCCAATTCGGTGACCACTTTCCCAATTGGTCAGTTTTCTTATATGTAGGAAGGATGGTCTTCCAGACTAGGTCTCCTTTTTGGAATGTCCTGTGAAGAACTTTCTTTCCGTAATTCCTTGCTCTGATTTCACTCTGTTTCACACTTCGACTTATTGCATGAAGGCGGCTAACATCCAAATCCTCCAACTGTTGCATCATAAGTTGTTGGTATTCTTTTGTAAGATCACCATCAGTAAACTCTGTTCGGCCAGATGATACTCGGATTTCGGCTGGTAAAACAGCATCTTGGCCAAACGTGAGTTGGTAAGGTGAGAACCCTGTGGCCGTATTTCTGGTATTCCTATGTGCCCATAAAGCCTGAGACAATAACAAATGCCACTTTCTTGGGTTCCCTTCAACCATCTTCTTTATAATCCCAATAATAATCTTATTTGCTGCTTCCGCTTGTCCATTGGCTTGGGGATAATAAGGTGACGAATGATGTAATCGAACACCGAATTCTGCCAAGAAACTAGAGAACTTTTCCCCTGTGAAAACCAGGCCTTGGTCGGTTGTTATAGACTGAGGAATGCCATATCTGTAAATAATTTGATTCAAAACGAAGTCTATCACCTCCTTCTGATCTACATTTTTCAAAGCAACCGCTTCTACCCATTTGGTAAAGTAGTCAGTCGCGACCAATATGAAACAATGATGTTTCGATGAAGCAGGATGTATCTTACCAATAATATCCATAGCCCATGATTTAAAAGGCCATGGTTTTGCCAAAAATTGCAATTCGGTTACTGGCAAATGGTTTAAGTTTCCATGTCTCTGACATTCCTGGCAGCCTTTGGCAAAGTGTATGCAATCTTCAAAAATCTTTGGCCAGAAAAAACCCAAACGATGAATGGCCCATCTCATATTCAGACCTGCCCGATGAGCTCCACATATCCCACCATGTACTTCTGTCATTACCTCTAGAGCTTCCTTAGACCCCAAACATTTCAAAAGTAAACCTTCAAATGATCTCTTATACAAAATTCCATTTATCAATTGAAAACGTAAAGCCTTCAATCGTGTCGCAATTGAAACACTCGCACCTGGATTTTGTAAATACATGATAAGCTCTGTTCTCCAATCGGTCACTGTTTCACTGGCATCTTTGTGTCCGACTGTAACTACGCCGTCGGGCTCCTGTTCGACAGTAACTTCGCATTCGGGCTCCTGTCCGACAGTAACTTCGCAATCGGGCTCCTGTCCGACAGTAACTTCGCAGTCGGGCTCCTGTCCGACAGTAACTTCGCAGTCGGGCTCCTGTCCGACAGTAACTTCGCAGTCGGACTCCTGTCCGACAGTAACTTCGCAGTCGGGCTCCTGTCCGACAGTCTCCTGCCCGACCATAACTTCGCAGTCGGGCTCCTGTCCGACAGTAACTTCGCAGTCGGGCTCCTGCCCGACAGTCTCCTGCCCGACCATTCGATCACATATTGGGTCTGTCTTTCCTTCTATGCCCGACTTGACCTCCGACCACATATCCTCCAGAATTCCTTTACAGGCCCTTTGAGCCAACTCATCAGCACATTGGTTTTCTTTCCTCGGAATGAACTCAATTATTACTTCTGAGATTTTTGTCAGTAACCGACCCACAATGTCCCTGTATCTGCGAAGGTGAGGGTAATTGCAAACATATTGATTGTTTACCTGGTTGATTACTAATTGAGAATCCCCTCTTATGATTACAGACTGGAACTTCCTGGCTATTAAAGCCTCCAAACCCAAAATTAAAGCTTCATATTCTGCCGAATTATGGGTCATGGCTTCCAATCGTAGTTGTAAGTTGATCTTTTGACCGTCAGGTCCTTGCAAAAAGACCCCTGCCCCTGATTTGTTTCCAGAGGTAGAACCATCAAAGAACATCAACCATGTTCTGGTACTTATATAAGGTACACATCCGACCTGTAGATTATTCACATATGATGAACAACCAAGTGGTCGGACGCTATCACCAAGAGAATACCCGACTTGTGAGAATTCTGCTAAGAAGTCGGCTACTGCTTGTCCCTTGATTGCCCTCAAAGGGGAATGTTGAAGATCAAAAGGAGCCAATTTGATGGCCCACTTCATGAGTCTGCCCTTCATAGTAGGTCTCTGTAAAATCAATTTGATGAGATCCACCTTTGATATGACCTCAATTTTTCTGGGCAGCAAATAATGCTCGAGTTTAGTACAAGCGAAGACCAATGAATAACACATTTTTTCTGGCATAGTGTAATTCAGTTCTGGTCCTGTAAGGGTTTTACTGAGATAGTAGATTGCCCTTTCCTTCCCGTCATCTCCATCCTGTGCCAATAAACAGCTAACCACTTCATATGTATTTGCCAAATAAAGTTTGAGCGGCCGACCTTGTTTAGGAGGCATCAAGACTGGAGGGTGAACCAATGCCTGCTTGATAGCATCTAAAGCCGTCTGTTGATCGGGACCCCATTCGAAAGCATTTTTTCCAGCTTTCAACAATTTAGTAATGGGTCTGACCTTGCCAGCAGCATTAGAAATGAAACGCCTCAAATAGTTCACCTTACCCAAAAGACTTTGGATTTCTTTAACCGTCTTGGGTGGCCGACTGTCAAGAATGGCTTTAGCCTTATTGGCATCGATTTCAATTCCTCTCTCATGAACTAAAAATCCTAAAAAGCTCCCGGCTGATATTCCAAAAGCACATTTGGTTGGATTCATCTTCAATTTGTACTTCTTCATTCTTTCGAATGCCTCTTCAAGATTTCTCAAATGTTCGTCAAAACTGGAAGATTTAACAATAACATCATCAATATAAACTTCCATAGATTTGCCAATTAAATCATGAAAGATTGAATTCATGGCTCTTTGGTAAGTTGCCCCTGCATTCTTTAACCCGAATGGCATGACTGTCCATTCATAAATACCTAAAGCCCCTGGGCACCTAAATGCTGTCTTAGGAATGTCTTCTTCTGCCAGAAATATTTGGTTATAACCTGCATAACCATCCATCAGACTAAGGATTTTATGCCCTGCTGCTGCATCTATCAACATGTCGGCCATAGGCATCACATATTCGTCCTTAGGGGTAGCTAGATTCAAATCCCTGAAATCGATGCATATCCTTATCTTACCATTTTTCTTGACCACTGGCACAATGTTAGCCAGCCACTCCGCGTAACGGCAAGGCTGAATGAAACCCACTTTGAGAAGTTTTTGGATTTCTTCCTTGATTTGAGGCATCAAATCCGGGCTCATTCGCCTTAGAGGTTGTTTGTAAGGTTTGCAACCTTCCTTGATAGGCAATCGATGCTCTATTAGACTTCTTGTCAAACCAGGCATTTCTGAATAATCCCATGCTAAACAATCAATATTGTTTCTAATAACTTCGAGCATCATTGTCTGTTGCTCTTTAGACAAATAACCACTTAGCCTGATCACTTTTGGAACCAATTCGGTTCCTAAATTAAACTCCAATAATGGGTCTTGTGATGAAGCTGTTGGTTCTGTTTTCTCCAATAAATCAGGCCAACGAAATTGTTCATCTTTTTGGAGGTGAACATCAAGAATCTCTTTACTATTTTCTGCTTTATGTAATAACTGCTTTAAATAGAACTTATTAATAAGAGAACTACATACTTCTAAACTTGTATCATCCATAACAAACAAATTATATGGGAATGGGTGTGGCTTTATCATGAGCCATACAATAAAGGTGTTCTTTTAATAGAACATCGAGTTCTGGCCAGTGACTTTATAACCCTTGTTTGGGTATTCCCTGGCCATATACAACTGAGACATCGGAGCCAAATGACTGGAATAAAACACTGACTCTTCAACTTGTTCTGATACATCGAATGGGTTGTCATTCGCTTCCATTTTGAAGACCTGATTTCCTTCCCAAAACATTAATTGTTGGTGCAGGGTTGATGGCACATATTGAGAGGCATGAATCCAGTCTCGTCCCAGCAAGAGAGAGTATGTAGTATCTGCGTCCACAATAAAGAAAACAGTGGAGATCTTTTTTGGTCCGACTTCAATTGTGGCAACCATCATGCCTTCAGGCTTAGTCGGCTGCCCCGTAAAACTTGTCATTTCGAATTTCACAGGAGACAGATCATGAATTCCTTTCCCTAGCTTCTTGAGAGTCTTCAATGGCATAACATTAAAGACTGCTCCATTATCCACAAAAACCTTTGTGATTGGTTTCCCGCAAATGTGAGCATTAACATACAGAGGCTTCAAATGGGAGATCGCACCCTCTGGAATAGGAGGAAACACAATCGAAGGTGCCTCCGGCTGAGGCTCGGAATCTGAAGTCTTTGCCCACTCTGTTTCCTCTAATTCGTCATCTGCCAAGAATGCCCATAAAGGTTCGTCCATAGTATCATCTACCAGACTCGCCCACATCGGTTCATCTCTCATCTGATTAATCTCTGTCATTCGACAAGGGATTCGTGGTCCCAGACGAGATTTAACAGATCTCAAATTTTCCTCTGTAGTTACAACTTCTTCCTTTGTCTTATTCCGAGATTGAGCCGTCAAAGATTCTATACGGAATTCTTCAAGAGATGGATTGATGTTGATCCGTTCACAATGTTGGCATCTAAAACCTCTAATTATTTCATCTGATATTCCTTTACCTTTCCTCTGTCCCGACGAACTTCCTTTAGTATAATCTGAAGCGTCTAATCCGTCGTTCGGTTGCTTTCTTGAACAGACCCGACTGGACCGACTTTTTGGAGATTGCATGGCTGCTCCCTGCTCGTTGGTTGTTTGTTCTGTAAAGACCCGAATGGACTGATCTCCTGCCAAGCAGTCGGCTGCGTTTTGCTCGTCGGTTAGTTGTTTTGCTGAAGGAACTCGTTTCCCATACTTCGCAGCATACCTGCGTTTGGCATTGCGAATCTGTGTACGATTCATACCTGGGAAACGAGGATCTATATCAACTGGTAAAGGCTTTTTATTTCGAGCCCAATTGTTCCCGACTGACCCTGTTTTTCTGGTCGGGTGGTCACGCACTAAAACCCTTTCTTTCACCTCCACATTAAAAGAACCGTCTGGATGGTCCCATTTTTCAGCGACTGGCTTTTCAACAACTTTGAGTCGTTCTTCCGGTCGGCCACTGTTTGGCTGACTTCCTTTTTTTGTTCCGGGGCTTGCCTGAGTTCGTTCCCCTGTTTGTCCACTATTGGCCGAATTTTTCCCTGTTTCCGAACTTGGTTGGATGTCAAACATAGCCGTTGTTACTTTCGGAAACGGTTGCTGGTCTACACCTAGAGTGATGTATTTGAGCCGACCTGTCTTGATAGCCTTTTGAATTTCCTTCCTGAAATGAGTACACTGACTTGTATTGTGTGTGAAAGAATTATGCCACTTACAATATGGTCTCCCTTTGATTTCTTCTTTAGTGGCCAATCTTTGCCCCTTTGGAATACGGATCTGCCCATCAGTCAGTAGGATATCAAAGATTTCATCAGCTTTCGAACTATCAAACGTCGGTTGCTCCTTTCCTTCAGATCCTGGTACTGGCTTCAATTTGGGGCATACATAAGGTTTTCCAGAAAGGATTTCGGCTGCCATCTCTTCTGACTGATTAAAATCAAAGTCACATGTTTCTGTTCCCATACTCGCCATATGTTGGCCTCTATTACGCCTGTTATGTTGATCTTCCTCTCTGAACAAAGACTCTAAACGTCCTGCCTTGGATGCAAGACTTGCCAAATCCTCAACATCCAGGGCAGTGAGTGCCTTTCTTAAGCGAGTATGCATATTCCGGACCACTAAATTGGTCATCTCTTTCTCACTGATTACCGTAGGACATCGTCCCTTCATCAATCGCACCCTTTCTATAAACTGTGAAGCAGATTCTTCTGGATACTGTCTCAATTCTAGTAAATCAGTTAAAGAAACAGTTGGTAAAGGATTGAAGAATCTGGCATGAAATGCCATCTCCAGTCCTTCCCACGTCTGAATTTGCCCATGAGGTAAACTTGCGAACCACGAAAACGTTGTTCTAGTAAGAGATAGACCAAACAGTTGCAACTTATAAAAAGGGTTATTACCAACTTCTCCCAATTGTGCTGTGAACCGACCAACATGTTCTATGGTGGAAGATCCGTCCTCCCCTGAGAATGCATGAAAATCGGGTGGTCGATAATTCCTTGGGAGGGGGTGTTCATTAATGATCCTTTCTGGGAAAGGTCTCTGATATGCAGGGCGGTTAGCCATCTGAGGAGTTAATCCATACTGATCTCTTAATATATGTGCAATCTCATCAGGATCTACATGAAAGCGTTGATGATCAGGAACATGGAACGGATCCTGCACAGGAATATGAATAGGATCATGTATATATCCTTCAGGCCTGTCCTCCCTTGTATTGTTCGGCTGCGGATTGGTAACCCTTGGTCCCAGTGGAACAGTGTTGGGAAAAGTCAGAGGAGATTTTCCCCTATCCATTCGGTTGGGATTTGTGGCACTTGGGAATGTACTATCCACGAATGATGGCCCTGCGAAATTTGCCTGTAGTCTGGATGGTGATACTCCTGGTGGAGTTTGAGTGGGTTGAAGACTAACCCTTGACAGTGCTTGATCTATCATGTTCTGCATCAGACTCTGTTGCTCACGCAACATGTTCGTTTGTTGCTCACGCAACATATTCTGCATAACCAAAGTGTGCTGGTTGTTCATTTGTTGAACATAAGACCACCAATCAGTTGGTGGTTGTGGGATTTCCCCGGCATTTGGCACAATAGGTGGTGGAACGGATTCTCCCACCGGTGCCGAAGATGATTGAGGTTGTGAACCTGCCATATGGACCCTTCCGATGATACGGCCGGATCTAAGACGTATGAAATTATCGCCGGAATTGGAATGAGCAATTTTGTCTTGCTCCCACTGTGGTCGCCAATTTGTTGATGTAATTTTTCAACAAAAATAAAGTAAAATTCAAAGATATAGAGAATATCCTTAAACTTGATTAATTAGTGCCTGAGATTAGGAATCTCTAAACACTGTATGGTACAGAAAATAAACTGGAAAATAAAAGACTGAAATTTAAAGTGGTGATCCCCAAATCTGACTTTGCTTTGTTGAAGTTGATTGAAGATGCCTTGCCAAATGATGATCCAAATCCTTAAATATTCTCTGGGAAACCGTACTGAAAACCGTCACCCGAACGGTTACAACGTCTCCTTCCCAACCGTCTTCCAACCCTTCTCCTGCTGACACGTGTCCTCAGCAGACCGAAATTATCCCTGTATTTCACTCTTTGAGCCGACCACAGACCTTCCGCCCTTTAGGCCCGATTGCCAATCTACAACCGTATTGGTCCGACTGCCAATCCTCCCGACTTGCAAACCATCTGACTTGTTTGGATTAACTACAGACATCCCGACTAACAAACCATCCGATTTGTTGGTCCTGCCGCAGAGTTCCGACCTGAGAACTTCCCGACCTGAGGCCTCCCGACTTGCGGACTTCCCGTCCTGAAGGCCTCCCGACCTGCGGACTTCCCGTCCTGAGGGCCTCCCGACCTGCGGACTTCCCGTCCTGATGACTTTCCGTCTTGAGGACCTCCCGACCTGAAGACCTTCCGATCTGAGGTCTTTCCGTCTTGAGGACCTACCGACTTGAGGTCCTTCCGTCCTGATGACTTTCCGTCTTGAGGACCTCCCGACCTGAAGACCTTCCGACCTGAGGTCTTTCCGTCTTGAGGACCTACCAACCTGAGGTCCTTCCGTCCTGATGACTTTCCGTCTTGAGGACCTCCCGACCTGAAGACCTTCCGACCTGAGGTCTTTCTGTCTTGAGGACCTACCGACCTGAAGACCTTCCGACCTGAGGTCTTTCCGTCTTGAGGACCTCCCGACCTGAAGTCCTTCCGTCCTGAGGACTTTCCGTAGAAATAAACCTATTTTCCTTGAGCCGGTTCAACCAATTCTATTGCCAGGCCCATTCTTCTTTTTACCTTGGGCTTTTAACCTAACTCTAAATTTCGTACGTAACAAATTGATTGCCTCTTTAGTCATGTTTTGAGTCATACTATTGCTACATCATTGACTCTTGTAGCTTATACATTGTCTGAGGCATTACTCATAAAGTGATTCAAAGAGTCATGTAGGGGTTGTAAACAAACTGAGTTTGATATAGAAAGGCTCAGTCTTAAAAACTTTCAATTCAATACAAAAGTCTAAACTCAAGCCTACTCAAGCTCAATTAATAGTAAAATAATTATGTATTTCTTAAAAATTAACAAATTAAGTAATAAATAATGCCAACTAGCCACATATTTCTGCTCAAGCTCAACCAACTCGTCGGGAGCTTAGGTCAGTGTACAACCCTAGTGACAAAGATACTGTGGTGCCATTGCATTTTTATTTAACTCATATCCAGGGCAGTAAATGCATTACTCTTTGCAAACGCAATGGTATTTGTTACTTAAGTTCTCTAACCTATTTTCACACTGTTTGATCTATCAATTTCTCTTCAAAAATTATCACATCTAACACTTCCCATACAAAACATTACGTCTAAGACATTTTTCACCTGAAAAATATTATAGCACAAAGAATCAAAATGCAAACAAACATACTCGTGTTTCACAAAATCTCTTTCATTCCAACTCACGTAAAACTTGTAGCTGGAAACATGTTTTAGCCATATTTTAGATGATAGGAATGCAGATATATAACATCTTTTGACCTAAATTGAAAGGTCGCCATAATCTTCGTTTAATTGATGTTTTACCTTTCTCCAAAAACAGAGATTAACTAATTATGAAATTAATCTATACTGAAAAACAAAATACTGAGTAACACAAAAAGCAAGAGTACATACAGTGTAAACAAATACAGCTGTTGGAAGACTGCTGTCTTGATAATTATGTGGTATAAAGGGTGATATCTGTCGACAAGATATTTTCAACTCTGGATCTGGCTCGCCTGTACGAACAAAGAGAGCACATAAAGGAGATTTTCCTTTACAATTTCGATAAGCCTATCATAGAGACAAAGAGCTATAGTAGAAAGTTACCATCATATACAGTCCATGCCCTGGGAAAGAGAGCATGGTATGTGGAATGCTGGCCACCTAAATTCCATCCCCACGATGTTATACCTTGATCATCACTAGACTTCCTGTCAAAACTAACAACAATGAAATGTAGTTGGATAAGATGGGATTTCCAATTGATTAGTTTCATATAGCTAAATCCCAAAATTTAAAAAGCACGAGGATAAGTTGCATTACAGATAATGTAAAAACTAGGTATTTGGGAAGTGTGATGGCATGCAAGAAAAAATGGCACAAAAAGAATAAGATATGACATTTTCTCTTGATAAACTGTATGCCTGTTTAAGAGGTCCCATTTCCGAGTTAAACCGTCACTGTCTGAAAGATAGTAAACTTAGCAATAAATAAGTGCCCATGAAATGACTAAGCCTCTGTATACTTAAGTTTTCAAAATTATTTTCGCACTATTCATCAAAATTTCTCTCTTTAAAAAACATCAAATCCAAAACCCATTTTCCATTGAAAATATTACATAAAAAAACCTATTCTCTATCCAAAACATCACATCTAACATCTATTATATCATAGCAAACACCTATGTTTTATTCAACTTTTTACTATTCCCAAACCAACCAACCCAATATTCCAAAACATATCTAAACACATTAGTTTTTCACAAAGCACAGATAAGAGGAGTAAGGAGCTTTCTTTTAGTTATAATTGCAGGCATCACCAAGCACATATATAATTTTTTGTGGCTTTTTTAGCTTAGGTTCAGTCCAAATCATAATCATATGACCCAATGTATATAAGATCGCAATGTACAAGTGAAAAGGTTTATAGCTGGAATTGAACAGTTGAGATGTATACCCTAAGCCTTCATGCTGGCCGGGAGCAAGGACTGATGCATATTTTTTGTTCCCTCCATCTCGAGATATGAAAATCTGAAATATTTACTTGAATTTGGTTGTCAGGTTATCCTTAACATAATTCCAAAGAAAAACAAATGTAGCACAAAGTATTTCTCACTTTGAGGTGTGAGGTACATCAAGCATTACAGGAAATTTGGAAAGCTGAATGTTGATGTATTTCAATTATAATTTTGATTTAATAAGTTAATCATATAGTCAAGGATAACTACATAGTAGTATTTGGTTAGGAATCTAAGTGAACCCATACTTTAGAATAGAGTTTATCATGAATTGATTCTCCAATGGTACTTCTCTCTGTGTGATGAGGTTTTTATTATTATACCAGTGGTTCACCTTATCTAATGATTCTTCTGTCACTAAATTTTGAATTTTTCAAAGTCCTAACGAATGAAGTTACTCAAGAGTTCTATACTCCAATGTAAAACTAATGAAAAGAAGAAAGCTCAAGTGACAGTTTGACAAAAGTTTACACCTACACTCTTATATGAACTAGGATTCTAGCTTTCCAATAAGATGGAATATAGTTCAATTAGTTCGCAAGGGTTTATACATTATAGGATTAATTTTTTCGCCCCAGCAAACATTAACAAATGCCTTTTTCACCAACATTCAGGAGAAAATAAAGATAAATAAGAAACTACAACATAAATAATATGTCAAGTAGAAGAGCTTTACAGAGAATTGATTGGCCATCACAGGCGAAGCCTCACATGTCCCTGGAAGTATTTGGAAATGCTGAAATTCCCCTCTGAAACCTCTGGATATGCTCCCACTTCTGGAATGTTAAGTTCCTTAACTTATTGATGGTTTGGATTAGAGTTGCAGAATAAAGAGTCTTAGCAAAATGAATGCTACATACCCCATTCCCCCAAGAGGAACACCTTGGGATGCAGAGGGTTTGCAACTTTCTCGAGTAAAAGGATCTATTGGTGCTCTCTACACAAAGAAAGTAAATACTAAGGACACAAAGTTAACCGCTCTAAACCAAGCAAATGTGAAGGTAGGTAGTGTTTGATTTACTTAATGAACAGACAAAGGTTATGCATTCTTTCAATGAAATGGATACAATGGCAAAAAATATTCGAGATAAGATGGATAGTTACCCTTCCTTGAGATGCTTCTTCCCGTACATAATGCCACAGGCGTATTCCGAGAGTGACCTACAACCAAAAATTTAAAAAAGATCATTAGAATCTTATAATAACCCAAATATGATAGTCTCACACAAGATCTCTTGAACATAATTTTGATTTACCATTTTTATAGCTTCTGTAAATGTAATACTAAACTCCTTAAGAACACTAGCATCGCTATTTAATTTCCTTCGCCATGCATATTCAGGAGGGGCAGCATTGTCTGCATTCAACTGGTGACACAAAACTTAGATAATCAGAAAAAGGCATGCATAGTCAGTAATAAACCTAAAGAATTACAGAAAGTAAAAAGTAAAAAGTATAAAGATTGCCAAAATGCTATATACAAAAGAAATATGAATAGGGTAAAGTTTTACCTTCACTGGTTGCTACTAAGGAAAACCCATTACAGAGCAGTCCTCAAAGAAAAAGATTTTTGTGTTTCTCAAAGGCAAGAAAGGGAAACAGCACGTATAGTCCTATCGAATGTACCAACTCAATACCAGTGCAAAATGGAAGCTGATTAAATTGTTTTTTACTTCTTGTGTTTCTTTTCATCTAGCATAGCAAAGGATTTGCAACATAGTCATCGTTGATAAGAAAGCTAAATATGTTATTCATTAACCTCTGAAATGGTACCAAAAAGCAACAAAGCTCAATTCTTATTAATCTTTTCCCACTCTTTTCCACTTTCTAGTTTTCCACAAAAACTTCTCACACCATATCTTCTTTGTTTTAAGGTTTTCCAAATTTTTACATATTCATAAAAAACTTTTTATTCCCTCCAAAAGTATCAAATCAAACATTATCCAAATAAGAATAATAATATACATTCAAAACATATCATACCTGTTTATATATATCATATTATACAACAACTATTTCAATTTAAAATGAAAATCCAAGCTCCCTAATGTTCTTCTGCGTCATACCAAATTTGGAACAAATATAAATGAATACGAGTAGATTGAGAAATCCCCTTTCGCAACAAAATAGCGAAAAATTCAGTAGCCATGAAAAACAGCATCCTCAACTTCAATATAGTGAAGAAAAACAGATCAAATTTTCCACAAACCGAAGATAAAAAATAACAGCTCACCAGCTGCAGAGTCGATCGATTTACGTACTCTTCAGGAGGCCACGAATCCTTTCTGAAATGAAACAAATCACCGGTCACCATTTCGCAGGTATTCAGCACTGGACTGTTTTTTTTCATCAATTATTCACAGAACTCTCGACGATCGCGAAACGTAGCCATTCATCTCCTCAATCTTCAAAGCTAAGCTGCTAACTAATCCCTCCATAAAACAAGGCAAAGCAACCGTGAATAATGGTGGCGTCTGATTCTGAGGGGAATGCAATCGAACTGCTTTGCTCCTAGTATTTTCGATGGTTCTTCTTCTTGTTCAAGAATGTAAAACGGCAGGCAGAGGCTCTAGAGGCGGTGGTGGTCTCAGAACATCGAATTTCGCTCTCAGAGTCATGCCTGGTGTGCTGCGGTGCGGTGTCTTCCTCGCACAATCTTTTCTATTTTTGGAAAAGATCATAGCATGTGTATCTTCGACTCTCATTATTATTATTATTATTATTTTCACATTTTTTAAGTAATAATATATTCTCATCAATTAAAAGTATCAAATCACCTTACATATTTATACTACTGTTAACCTTACTTAAAGAAAAAAAAAAAAAAAAAAAAAAAAAAATTTTGGATATTTTGTACTTTGTTATGAGACGGAGAAAGTATTAATAATAAGAGCATCTGTCACTTCTTTTGTTACCTTTATCATTATATTTTTAATTTTTATTGTAATAAAATCCATTATCTCTGATAAGAAATACAATCATTAAATTTTATTACCTTTGTCAAATAACCCATTACCTTTAACATAATAAAAAATAAAATCAAATTAAAAACTATCCAAAAAATTTTGAAATTTCAAAAATTTAAAGTTTAAATTTAACACAAATTATTTATAAATATATTTAAATTTCATTGACCAATTCTCTACATTTTCATATTAAACGAAATGACTAGCAAAAATACTGATCTTTTCAATCGGTGCTTATATTAAATTGTTGGACACATTTGACAATAAAAATAATAATTCTTAAGTTATATTGTTAATATATTTATTTAATACGTTTTATTATATTACAATTCTTTTTAATATTATTTTTAATTAATATACTCTCTCCGTCCAATTAGAAAGTATACATGTTTCTATTCTGGGACGTCCAATTACAAAGTAAATGTGGACAAAAAATTGTGTTATTTTTAATAAACACAAAATTTGTACAAATTATATTTGATTTGAATTTAAAGCGGGTTCTATTCTCTAAATGGGTCCTTTGATTCTCCTTCCGGATGAATTTATTTTCCAACTTGGTTTTCTATGGCTTCTTTGATCCGAAGAGATTTGGTCTTCGGTTTGATTCTGCCGGCTTTTGGAGGGTTTTGGTCTCCGTGCGGGCGATTTGATCGGTAGCTTTGGATTTGATGTCTTTTTTTAGACGATCCGAGGCTTTGATCTTTGATTTGGCTTTGCCGCTTTTGGAGGACTTTGGTCTCCATGTTGGCGATCTGATCGTCGTCTTTGGATTTGTTGTCTTCTTTAGACGATCCGCGACTTTGACCTTTGCTTTGGCTTTGCCGCTTTTGGAGGACTTTGGTCTCCGCGTTGGCGATTTGATCGTCGGCTTTGGATTTGATTTCTTCTCTAGATGATCCGCGATTTTGACCTTTACTTTGGCTTTGCTGCTTTTGGAGGACTTTGGTCTCCGTATTGGCGATTCGATCATCGGCTTTGGATTTGATGTCTTCTTTAGACGATCCGCAACTTTGATCTTTAGTTTGCCTTTTCCGCCTTTTGGAGAGCTTCGGTCTCCGTGTGGGCGATTTGATCCTCAGCTTTGGATTTGATGCCTTCTTTGGACGATCCGCAGCTTTGATCTTTGATTTGTCTTTGCCGTTTTTGGAGGGTTTTGGTCTCCGTGTGGGTGATTTGATCCTAAACTTTGGATTTGATGTCCTCTTTAAACGATCCGCAACTTTGATCTTTGAGAATGTGGATTTGGTGCTCCATAACGTTTTTGGCGGCGTGTCCCTTTGACTTTTGGATTGAAGAGGGCCTAGTTTGCTTTGGTGAAGAACGCGATGAACACGTCGAAGCTTTGAGAGGAACTTTGTAAAGCTTCCCTTGGCTTTGACGAATTCTTCGACGGCTTTGAGAGCTTTAATCCTTCCTCCGGCTTGGACATACGACGAAGAACGTTAACTTCATCGATTCGTCAACCAATATTGGATCATTTGTCCAAATTAGTGACTTTCGACGAAGAACGCTTCGAAGGACACGAAGAACATGAAGAACAATACAGAGAGAGTTTAGAGATTTACCCCTTTGCTTGAATCCTCGATGCAACTTCGGTGTGTCAAATGAACTGGCCATGACTCCTATTTATAGGGGAGGGCGGCCTTGGCTTCCTTTTCGGATGGTGCTACGTGGATGGAAAGATTTTATAATCTTTCCTTTTCCATCGGATGCCGTTTTTCATTCTTGACGGATTTGATTGTGCACCTTGCTTTCTCGCCAAAATCTTTATATTATTGCCCTTTTTTGAAGATATTAATTCATATACTTCATTTATTGACAAGATCTTTATATCATTGCCTTGTTTGGAAGATATTAATTTATATACTTCCTTTATTGACAAGATTAATTTATTTTGCTGCCAAATTTACTATGGCTCTATTTATGCACGTAATATTTGTACGATATCTTCCATTTTAAGCAGATTTTTGCATTAATGGTTGATATTTATTGTACAAAAATTAACATGTGTGCATAATTAAATACCATATATTTATTTTATTGGAATTTTATTTTCTTCCAAAATACATGATATTTAATTGATTTTAGACATATATTTTTAGTGTCTACAGTAAACATTTCATTAAATACCTTACTTTTTTCCACAAATACCCCTATTTTACATCACATCATTACTTTTACACCAAAAAGCAAGGGAAAAATGTCATTACACTACTTTTAACTACCCACTTTTTTTGTGGACGGAGGGAATATATTGATTTATTTCGAATAATTTTAATTATTAAGATTTATATAGAGTAATATTTTAAAAGTTAAAATATAATATTATATAATAATATTATTAGATAATAAATATATATAAAAATATGTATAAATAAATAAATTATTATATATATTATTATAATAAAAATATATAGAAATAAATAAATTATTATGAATTTATAAAATAGTAAAAATAATGTGTTATAGGTGATCTAGTATAACCGGTGATAAATAAAATAATTTGAATATTGAGATAAATATGATGCGGATAAGAAATAAAAGAGATAATGAGGTAAAAATAACAACTATAGAGGATACTCTGTTACAATTACCTTCTCGATTACCTCTCTCATTACCTTTGTAGTTTTTGTTATAACAAGTGTATTACCCCTGTGAGGAAATATAGTTAATATCAATATAGTTAATATCAATTTATTACATTTATCAAGAACAAAAACTCGTTACCTCTATAAAAATAATAAATAAATAATTGGTTAATTAATTATAACTTAAAATTTAAAAAATTAAATTTAACAATAATTTATTTATATAAATACAAATTCAAATTTATTTTAAAAGATCACAACTCACCTACATATTTTTTAATAATTTCTTTTATATATCCAATTTTAATATTTAAATATTTTTAAATTTTTATATTCAATCTATTTTCAACTAATTCTTTAACAAAATTATCAAAAACGAAAAAAATATTCCGCCAATATATTAATTCGAATTTATTTCAATCATTCAGATTTTTAAATGCAATTAATTTTAATATTTTATAATATAAAATTTATATAATTTTATTATATTTTATATAAATTAATATTTTACATAATAAATATTATTATATATTAGGATTAGATAATAAAAATATATAAAAATAAATAATTATGATGAATTTCATAAAAATATAAAGATAATAAATAAAAGTGACAGATACTATAATGCGTGTTAAAAGAAGTAATTTAAATATTGATGTAAATATGACGTGAACGAGAGAGATTAAAAAAGTAATGCACTAAACACATTGACAATAACGAATACTCTAAATTAACAAATCTAACCATTATACTATTATTTAATTATATATATATATATATATTTATAAAATCGGCCCGAGCGAAATTAGGTAGGCAAGGGAGGGCTCCTGCACCTCCCCAATCCCACCCCTTATTTTATTTATATAATTTTTAAATTATATATAGTAAAAAAATATTAAAATTTTGTTATAAAAAACATTTTTTTACGGTAATCATATAATTTGATATTTTTAATAAATATTAAATAATTTTTATATTTTAGTATTCAATATATCGGTATATACAAATAATTCAAATATATTGATACTAAAATCATTATTTTAAATTTTAGTATTTGAGTATGAAATGATATATGTCGATATTATACTAAAATTCTGGTATGGTATCAATATATATTTATCATATTAATTTTTCGGTATATTGAATTTTCGAAAAACAAAATATCTCTCATTTTATTTGAGTTTTGGTTCCGCCACTGGGCAGACACGGCCCAGTATCAATGACCAAGGACATGGCCCAGTTCATTGTTGTGTCGAGTGACAAACGGTCTAAAATTTTCAAATTTATTGTTTTAAATATTAGCATGTATCAAATTCAAAATCAAATTTTTGAATTGTCTATTTTGACCTGTTTAATTCAACACTGTGTTGTCTCAAATATCTTATGAGATTTTGTTAATATGGGAATTTTATTAATTTTAATTATTATTTTATTGACTATAAAATTTATTTACTTTTTAATTAATAGTGTCATTTTGTTTTTGTATTTTTTCTTTAATTTATAAAAATCAATAAATGCAAAAATATATTGTTGTTATACGTATATACCTGCACATAGGTATCGTGGATGCTTCTGCATAATTAGGGATGTTAACAGCGCGGGTTCGGAACAGGTTTTGCAGACCCCGATACCCACTAGAAAATATTAGGATTCAAGACCCACCCCGCCCCACTTCAACCCAGCCCCATGATCCGTTCCGCCCCGAATCCTCCGGGTTCGAAGCCAACCCAACAAACCCGCTTTTTTTTTAAAGAAAAGAATAAAATAAACTTTTTTAAAAATAATTTAATAGTAAAAAAAAGTATGCGATAAAGCACCAAAAAATTATAGTTCTGAAAATAAGAAAAATCAAATATTTGACAATAGTCTGCAACGATGTGGTTAGCAGGAGAAGTGTAAGAAAAACAAATGCAAACACAAATTTGATTTAAATTTAAAATTATATTTTATGTTTAAATTTTTTTAAATAAAAAAATAATATAATTTATATTGTATAAAAATATAAATAAATTATAATAATTATTAAAATAGCCGGGTTTGGGATTCGGGTTTAGGTCCAGGGAGGGGCGAATTTTTAGTAAAACTCGAACTCGCTCTGAACCCGGCCGGATTTAAAATAAGAGTAAAAATTATTTTTGGTCCCATTCAATATCAAAATTATCAATTTTGGTCCCATTAAAAAAAAATTATCAATTTTAGTCCCACTCAAATGAAAATTTATCAATTTTAGTCCCAAAATGGCTGTATTGGATGACTCAGAAGGTGACTGGGCGTTCCAGGCAGCCAACACGGCCGTGTTGGTCTCAATATGGCCGTGTTGATTACCCTGCACTTCTGAACACGGCCGTGTTCCTATCCGTGTTCTGAAGACAGCCTTATTCCTGCCCATGTTCTCAACACAGCTGTGTTCGCTGTGTTCTAGGCCATGTTCCTGCCCATGTTCTCAATACAGCCATGTTTTAGGCCATGTTCACGACCATGTTTTCAATATAATCATATTATAGGTCATATTTATTATTTTTTTCATATTTTTTACTATTATTTTATAATATAAAAAATAATCAATTTTTAATATTTTTAAAATATATAAAAATAATAATATTTTAAAATAATACTCCCTCCATCTCACGCTGGATATCTGGGTCACTGTAGACACGAGAATTTAGGATAAATATAATTAGTAGATAATTAAGAATAGATTAGTAAAAATAATTATCATATAACATAAATAATTATAAATTAAGATTAAAATAACTCATTAGTTTAATTAAAATTAAAATTAAATTAAAAAATAGTGTGTAATTATTTTCCAAAAAAAACGAAAGTGACATGGGATGTGAGACGGATATAAACGGCAATGTGGACATGAAAGTGGGACGGAGAGAGTATTATTAAAAACTATATTAATATATTATTATTTTTATATATTTTAAAAATATTAAAAATTGATTATTTTTTATATTATAAAATAATTGTAAAAAATATTTTTGTTAAATTATAAATATATATATCAAATAATTTTAACCAAAAAGTGAAAATAATAATAAATATGACATAAAATATGATTATATTGAAAACATGGTCGTCAACATGGCCTAGAACATGGCTGTGTTGAGAACATGAGCATGAACATGACCTAGAACATGGCTGTCTTGAGAACATAAACATGAACATGGGTAGGAACATGGCTGTGTTCAGAACACGGGCAAAAACACGGCCGTGTTCGGAAGTGCAAGGTAATCAACACGGCTGTGTTGGCTTCCTGGAACGCCCAGTCACCTTCTGAGTCATCCAACACGGCCGTGTTCAGTCCCAGTCAACCATTTTGGGATTAAAATTGATAAATTTTCATTTGAGTGGGACTAAAATTGATAATTTTTTTTTGAATGAGACCAAAATTGATAATTTTGATATTGAATAGGACCAAAAATAATTTTTTCTCTTAAAATAAAATAGATGTTGTTAACTTTCAACTTGTACAAATCTATATCAAAGGATATTTTCAAGATATATATCGTAATACTAATATATATCTTATTGTACGGATGGTCATATAAAATGACTTTTTTGCCACCACGACTATGGTACTAATTATCAGAGCTAACTTTCATTTTTGATCTAAATATATGATTTTAAGATGTACTTTGGACTAAAAATAGCAATTTCATCGTTGTATGTATTTTTTGTTGGTAAAAGTTTTTATTTGATTTTTGTTCCTTCCTCCACTGAAAAAATTGTTTTCATATATATATATATATATATATTTATTTATATTCATATAATTTAATTTTAAAAATAAATTATAAATAAAAAGTACATTAATATGCATATTATTTTGCAGAGAATAATTTTTTTTTTCATAATACAAAAACTTAAGAAAACTAAAAAATTATAATTAAATAATTTATAATTTATTTAATCTTTTAAAATTAATTAGTTATCTTTACTTTAATTTATAATCATTTGTATTATATTTTAATTAATTTAACTAATACATTCTTAATATTAAATAATCATAACAAAGAACTTATAGAATATTCAATATAACCAATAAATATGCATTAAATTCACTTTTCAACATAACAAATATGTTATGGAAAATCTATTCTATTTCTATTATAATGCCTCTTTGATACAAACTCTATAAAAATAACTTTTTTAAAGGCACAAATAATATCTTATTTTTATATAATTTTTAAATACACATATATGTATATATATCTATAATAATCTTTCAACTTTAAACCAAGAAAGTATATATTAAAATATATTTTTTTCTATAAAGAAACATTTATTTGTTCTTTTGTATTTTTAAGTTACATTTTTTTTTTACTATTTTCTTAGAAAAATATTATATTCGATACATATTTGTCATATAGAAAATATCATATCAACCACATCAAAACCAAAAATATAAGACAAAATACACACATTATGTAATTTCACAACCTTCTCGTTAGAGCTGTCACAACATGAAAAACCATTTACTATTATACTTCATTCGTCCCTTAACAATCTATTCATTTTTTCATTTTGATCTGTACCATAACAAAATATTCATTTTTTTAATCTTTTTATCTTTATTTCTGCTACATTCTAATATAATACTAATATTTCTTCTAAAACTCCGTGCAAAAAATAAATGAATATATAAATATGAGACAAAGTACTATTTTTTAAGCTGAGTTGTCTTAATGAAAAACACTGTAGATCTTAGAGCATATGCAATGGCTTACCCATAAATTTGCCTCTACTAGCTGATGTGGAGGCGAAGTGGCTCTGTTTAGAATCCGACACAAGTGTCAAAATGTAAAAATCACACAATAGTTTATACACAATTAGATAATCTTCAAAGCTTAAAGAATTACTTCACTGACACGAGGCCAAATCTTGCCATTATTTTGCCTATATTTGCAAACCATTTGATGATAAGTTTTGCTGGATGCAATATAAAAAGCCTCGTTATGATCGAAGACCATCTATTTTGCAGGCCACTAGACATGCTCTTACCATAAAACAACAAAAGAAAGAACTCAAAATAGTTATCTATGCATGAAACTATTAACTATACATCATTCATACCACAACAGTGTATGCTTTATGCTTGCGTAGATCACAAAAGGAACTCCCGAATTCGCACAGGTCGTTTCACGGCGTTTGTGAACCCCTAAGCAAAACAGAGGAAAATATTATCATTAAGGAGAATAGCACAGTGTCCAGCATCAGCAAAGATTCTGGGATTGTTTAATCGAGAGTGATATAAAGATACGTGTAGAGGTGCGATGAGAAGCGTTAGATCATCAGTTTAGGGCCCGACGTAGATGGTGTGATCTCTAAAATGGGATGCAGATCATGTAGTTTTTCAGCTTCATATGCATTAAGGAACTAAGTAAAAGTGGCAGCAAATACCTCATTAAATTTAAACAACAAAGGGTGTGAAGCTCCTGCCCTTTTTGCAGGTTCCTGTGTGGCGTCGCTGGTGACTTGAGAGTCGCCTTCATTGCTCACTTTGCTACGCCTGATCAAGATTCATGATAAATGTTCCGAAGCAAAACAAAAAAATAAAATAAATACTCCTAAATGGTAGTACTATGACAGGAAGCTCGAAGATTCTCTAAGTTTACATTAACTTTAGAATGTTTTTGTAATAGATTTCATCAGTTATGCTTGCTAGTTTACTTGAACCAATATGTTCAAAATGCACAGAAACGACTATAGAAATGAAATTGATTCGAGAAATGATGGCTGATCATACCGAGTGAAGAAACTTGTCAGGTCACCAGAACGCTTTTTGGATCTTTCTGCTGGTTTTGCTTTCTGAACCGTAGAACTAGTTGACTCAGAAACATTTTTATAAGTTCCCGTTTTATTGGAAGTAGGACTTTTCTCACTCCTTTTCTTTTCAGCCGATCCATTCGTAGAACTAGATTTAGATAATAATCTGCTTTCAGTATTAATATTTCCTGCCCCGTGATTCTCTTGCATGTGCATATTGCCAGTTTTGGATAGGCTACTCCGCAGGATTTTTTGCTTTTCCACCTACAAGTCATGCGCAAAACTAGTCCATCACAATAATCTAAATTAAGACATCGATAACTGTAACTTAGAGCTTTAATATAAGAAGTTGGTGAACTTAAGTCACAAATGACCATTATATATGTATCTTGAAAAAAGATGACAATGCGTAATACATCTAGAGAAACTAAAAATAAGGTATATTGATCTAAGGATCATATTTTTGTTCTCGAAATTCAGAGCTTGTTCTGCTCTTGACCTCAAGATTAGAGAACTACAGACTTCCTGTGTGGAGAAAAAAAAAAAAAAAAAAAAGCAGAAGAAGAGAATGGAGAAAAAAAAAAAAAAGGCAGAAGAAGAGAATGGAGAAAAAAAAAAAAAAAGGCAGAAGAAGAGAATCGAATAACAATATAACATACTCGCCAAAATTCAAAACATGGATAGAAAGGCACTAGTCTAGGTAAGTAGTGTTAACAATATATGAATTATAACTTTTACGGTACATTTTGCACTATAACAAATGAATAAGCATTTGACGAACATCAATACAAATTTAGCCTTAATGAATTGCAGTGCGAAACACAATACAACAAGATTTGGTTACTCTGCCAATATTAAGACAAGACTGTCGAAAATATATGCTCTTAGCAACCAGGTATAACTAAAATATAAATGACAGTCAAGTTATACAGAAAAATATTATTATAACTTAAAATACAGATTTCACCCAATCAAATAGGCTTACATTGGATCTAATTTGATTTCCTTGGTACTTTATACTAAGAAGATATACAAGTCAATGAGAGAATTCAAGCCATCTAATCATATATCTAGAACTGGCAGTGTAGTCTTTGGAATTCCACATCAAAAGCAAGATAACAATTATTTTAAGCTTTACTAAAATTTCTGGGAAAGGCAGATAAAGATGAATTAAGAGGACGAAACTCAAGTAAAAATCAGTAGCTCTATGCACGTTTAGATGTGCGTGTGTAAAACAAACTTGGGCTAGTATGCTTCACACTTATGCAAAGACAATTATTCACAGCTAACAGTATTGATACAATGCTACTATTTCATAGAGATTTTGCCCACTACAGTGAGAAAGGTATAATGATTAGTGGAGCGGCTACTCCAGAGCAAGTTCAACAACCAGTTTGTTCCATTTTCCATATCTTCTGGGGGATAAAGTGTTAAATGGATTAAAAATATAATATATATATATATATCACGTATCATGTTTTGTATGATATCAATAACAAAACAAAGGGAAATGAGAACTTTAATTCATTGTCAGTATTATTAATAATATGTTCGCATACAGCTTCCAAAACTTACCTCATGAACCAAGACCTGCTTCACTGCTAAGGCAAGTTCGAAATGACATGAATTGTAATCCTGGTGAACCAATTAATAAGGGTGAGACTTCCGACACAAAGTATATTCTATATATTAAAGGTACAACATCGAAAGATTGCATGGGCAGTATACTAACCTTGAAGCGTATAAATTCAGTAAGTGGTGGGTCAAGCGAAAGTGTGGTTACATCTAAAGCACTTTCATGTCTCAAACTAGCAGATTGACCAGATTTGACATTCTTGTATGTTATAGCATAGGAGACCATGCTATTTACCAACTGGTTTAAATCACTCTTCTCCTTTTCTGAAAGCAAATGAAATGCAACCTACAATAACAGCATGGATTCTTAAATGGGGTAAAGTGAAGAACTAGTGTGAACAAAGTAACGGTTAACTGTAAATTAATATGTAGGATTTCAAAATAAGGCATCTCAAATTCTTTATTTTTTTAAGGTGATGAAGCAGGAAAAATATGTTAGTTTTTGTCACACAGATTACAGGTCTCAATGTAGGCGGCGATAGGATGTGCAACATCGGAGAAATTGAATCTTCCACAAAGGAATTTGCTGACAAATGCCTTGAAATGTGAGGTAATATTTTGTTATGCCATGAGTGGAACATGTCCATCCTTTCAGAAAAAATTGTTCTGAGCCTGTTGAATGACAAGAGAAGACTAAAGTGGCATTTCAAAAGATATTGGTAGAAAAACAGAAATGAGTGAAATTTAGTTACCTTTGGAGTGACTTTGGCCATTCAATCTCTTTCTTCTCAACTTGAGCTATAAGATTATGTATATGTATGGCAATTGCTGGTTGATAAACTGTGAAAAGTATATCAAAAGCATATGTAGAATAAGACATGCATCATAAGAAAGTTGATTTAGCATGTGCAGATGTTTAGAACAAGGTTACCTTGAAGAGACATTTTCTGTGTTCGCATGATGTATCGATGAGTTATATCTGAAATCAATAGATTATCCAAACATTGCACCTGAAAGAAATTGGTCACTTTAATGTCTAATGAGATGACACGTGAACTTATTAAGATTAGGTATATAAAAATTGAGAAGCAAGTTAGACTTACAGTTTTTTGCATCACCGGATCAACAGAACGAAGCTGCAACATGTTTTCATGAACCCCCTCCAAAATTAAATCATAGTCACCACTGAGACCAATAAAAATAGGCACACAAAAACCATGTGAATCACGATCCATTACATTAGTTCTGAAAGATAAAAGATGGATTTCTGCTTACCGGTTAGATATCATAGTGTATAGAAAGTCAAAATCCCCAGACGTGCTGCAGCCAGAATTATCACATTTCTTGGACTGTTTCACCTTTCTCTTTTGGAAGATCTTCATATTGAGAAGAAGAAAAGGAGAAACTAGAATGATAAGCACAAAGAGCTTTGCTTTTTGGAAACAGTAACAAGGCATCCAGTGGACTTACTGCTTTCCATATATCGTAAGTACTTTTAGCTACATCCTTCCGACCAACCACTTGAGAACTGATCTCCATCTTAAACAGAAAATTGTTCTATCTATTAGCAAAACAGTATTTATTTTTTTGGTTTAATATTGAATCAGTTAGTATGAATGTAGCTATTAAGAAAACTGTGAACATGGTAGCTAGAAGCGCGGGGTGTTTTTGAGGTAGAATCAGCAGTCACAAGAAAATATAGAACTCATAATATAGGAGGGTGTCACATAAAAGTTGTACCACATTGAGGAGTTCCTTCTTCTTGTTGAGAAACTGAAGTGTGTTCAAGCATGAGCGTATATCACATTCTGAGAGGTAAATATTGAAATCAACTTACTGAACTTTGACATTTGGACCATCTAGATTACCAAATAAGTGGAAAGATTGAAGTAATCAAATATGAATGTCACATTTGCAATGTAAATGCATATGATGCTGATTTATTCCAAAAACCTTTGGACCTGTGAGACAAGCATGCAATCAGAAATAAAGACTAACCAGTATACTCTGCCAGGGCTGTCAGAGTATGAGAATTTGTCCTCATTCCTTCTTTATGACAAATATACTTCAACCTATCATTTAAAGTTATTCAATTGGGTCAGAAACCAGAGGCATTCTAATAAAATAGCCAGCATAATTAAGAACTCATACACTGGGGGTCAAGTGACTGAAACCAGCCAAATTTGTTGACTAAAATAATGCAAGTTTACATTGATTGTATCAATTATGAAATTAATACAATAAACGATGTGGTAGCATGAGATTTGTAAGGGATATTTAATTAATTGAGATATGGATTGAAAACCTAGATCCTGGACTTCCAAGAAGAGAGTGGAAGAATGAAATACTAATTATCAAAAGTAATATTCAAACCCCTGAGCATTAGGTTGTATTTTAAACTGTGCAAGAACCAATAATATGAAATAGGAAAATAAACCTGTTGATTATATTATAAGCATCCCAAAAAATAAATATAGTAGAGAACTGATATATCTTTTTTAATTGAAATATGCACGAATCATGTATTATCTTCTAGATGCATTGCTGATTAACAATCTGTAATCATTACAATATTCAACATAAAGAACCAGCATAAGATTGTAAACAATAATATGGGTACTAGCCCCAGAGAATAAGACATATTCCATACAAAGTCAACAACCAAGAAGAAAATTGGATAGAATTGATTGCTTGAACTAAGAAAAAAAAAAAAACAAAAAAAAACAATTGCACCTGTTTACAACACGACTTGCTGTTGGTTGGACAAAGATGTGAACCCTGCAATATGTAAATTGAACATTTTATTGTTGTACTTATTCAGCCATGTACATCCTTTCCCCAACTATAAATATATTGTAGGAAAAAAGCCATCCAATGTTTCAGGTACTGCATAATTTTCAGGAAAACTCTCACTCTTAATATAGTCAAAGATAGATGATAAAAACGCTTACTTTTAGTTGCAAATTTGAGATTACTTTTGGGGTGAGGATTCACTTATATTTGAATAAGAAAAATATATATCTTATCCATTTACTGCCCAAACTTTCATCAAAGAGAAAACAGGTATAACAACTAGGAACATACTTGGCCACTTGACGCAATGGCCTAAGGGCTGGTGCATATAGATCGTTACAAATACATATGACCTGCATATTACATGTAGTTATCTCAGATATCAATCTATATATATGAACAGAGTTTGAGAAGACATCATACTTACAGGCCTCAATAACCGTGAAGTACTTTGTTTCTCTCGGTTAGGCTTCCAACCAGAATTTGCCACATGAGAGACATTTCCTTTTCCACTGTCACTTTTCCTCTCAACGGAAGATAACTGCATCAAATTGGATCATGACATATTTTCATGAATAAGCATTCAATTCGAGATTGGAGAACCCCAGCGTGAATTTGGAGAGCACTAAAATAAACATGAACCGTTGATGTTCCACCAGTTTCAGTAAATTATAAGCCTGGGGCAGGATATGGCCATTTCAATACAATGAAGAAGCATGTGTATATAGGAATTTCCCATAGACTTTAAACTTCAACTCCAAATATGGGGACAAAAAATTGAAATTACAGCTGGGTAACTTTTGAAACATCAGACAATCTGGATTAATAAATATCAATTCATAATTAATATAAATACCTTTTCATTTGCACTATATAGGATGCATGCTGGTTTTAATTAAAATTAGCTATGACTAGGAACTTTTGCTTATCAACAGCCTATTAAACTAAGAAGAAAAGAAACTGCTCTAAGAGAATGCTACATCTAAATATACAAGAGAATGCATGTCTTGACTGAAACCAAAGGACAAATGTATACAAATATACAATCCATATGCCAACCCAAACAGTGAGATAAAAAGCTAGATCATGATGATGAGCAGCTGTTTATGTACCAAAGACAGCAGTGCTGGAAACTATAGGGTGCTCCTTTGTGTTTTCGCACTATGTGTGCTATAGTAAACCTTTTTCCAACCCCTTCCAAATATTTAATTAAACACATTTTTTTATTTAATGTATAACATAAAATATGTATCTTCTATTCAAAACTCACTTATTTTCCAGTAACAACATCATATCAAACCTATTTTTAAAACAATTCATAACGCCCCCAAACACAAAGGAACACAACCGATCAATCACAACACACAGATACTACAAAGCTTCTTGCTTGATTTACTTGGACAATATTTTGTGTTTTTTAGTATTATTAGGTAAGAGATAATCATTTGCAAAATTTATAACAAAATAATTGAATTAAAACAAGTAGATACAGTTAATACATATCGAACATTGACATGATTAAGGCATCCGAGTCATAATTACTTACCAAGCATATGTTTGCAAGTCAATGAGCAGAATTAAAGGGGGAAATACTACACATAAATTGTCCTGTAAAAACACAGTCAACAAACCCACAGCCAGAAGAGTAAAGTTGGTGTGACCTACCAATTTAAGAATTACATCCACAGCACCTTTCCCATCTCCCAGGGCACCATCTATTTCATCAATAACCTAAAATATCAGTTCCCAATGTTATCCAAGAGAAGCATAATAATATTATGAAAAGAAACCAAGGAAAAAGTAAACCATTTCCTAACAGAGATAATTAGACAATAAAACCAACCAAGCACTTTGGCTTTGAATCAGCAGTAACTGAATGCATTTGAACCACATCAAGGATTTTAGCTTCAATGGTTGAAGATGATCGATCATCACTTGCATTAATCTGTCATGGGGACAGAAAATTAGGCAAATTTATATTTGTGAAAAATATTTCATTCCAGTGGATCAGCAGCTTCTGTTTCACAACACACATTTGAATACAGTTTCAGCACCGAGTAGATAACAAGAATCATGGTTATTGGATATTTACTGAAGAAAAAGATTGCATGTGCACTTAGAATCAAAATTTAGTACTACCATATATCATTGCAATTAATGATGATTACGGTTTCAAAAAGTAATGCCACAAAAGGTTAAACTAGTAGGTAAGGTTCAAACATCCAGTTTAGAAAAGAAAATTAATACATTCAAGGATTTTTATGTTGAGAAAAAGTATTGGAAATGGCAGGAATAAAAAAAAATCGATAATAATAATTGTTATATGTACACTTGTTGAAGAAAGTATTGAGAAAGCAGTAAAACATTTTGGAGAAAAATGAAGAATTAAAATTGTTTTCGCGTTTCATTCTATGAATACATTTTTTTCATGTTTTCTTTTGTCCTCTTTGCATTTCCTTATTAGCAATATCAACAATTTCATTGTTCCCACCACAGTTGTCATACATGTAGAAAATTTTCTTCGTATGATGCACCATTAAAACGAATCTAACACAGAGATAGAAAATGCTCTAGAATTTACTTAATTTTTAGAGAACTTAATTAATCTCATAAAAAAGGAAAATTTAAAATATTCAAACCTCCACCGCGCGGTACCCACAATGCCTAGCAGCTACATGTGCAAGTGTTGTCTTTCCAAGCCCAGGAGGACCACAAAGCAACAGAATCTGTAACGATCAACTATTATTATTGCAAACATATATAAGAATGTGAGAAGATTTACATACAAAGTATGCTTACTATTAGTGATTAATTAATCTTTATATGTAAAGTACAACATGAAGGCCCAGAGTAAGCATGCTCAAATAAGTAATCTGGGCAAACGGTTTAAGGTGATTAAATTACCTGTTTGCATGTAAACCAAACTTTGCTGAGCATGAACATGATTGAATCCAAAATAAAATAAAATAAACTATCAATTGTTATCAAAAGTTAATGTAGGAAAAAAAATGTAAAAAAGAACAGAAATTTGAGTAAATTGAAATAGATAATGATAAAAAATCAGTGGAAAAGAGAACAAATATGATTATAGAAAAAATGCAGACATTGGAGGATAAAATGCTAAAAAGCAGTCAGCCATAACTGTGTAGAAAAAGCAGCTGTACATTGTGATTTAGTTCAATTTTCCAATGCATCACAAGCTTTAGCTTCTTAATATAATAATTTCACAGAGCGTCAATTCATTTATGCAATTTTTGGAGATATTTATGCATTTCATCAAAACCTTAAGATTTGTTTGGACTCACTCTTTGGATGTTTGAAAACAAAATGTGAAGTTCTACCCATGGAGAAAAAAGCCCATTAGGTTAATAAATATATCCCATGTTTTAGCGCCATCAACAATAGTTCTTCAATCATTGGAATTCAATGCAGACCTTACACATATATTCATTAAAAAGCTCAATCATATTATACTTTGCAAACACATTACACAAGAGAACAAAACTACTATTTGTAAAAATCATAACGAGTAGCAAAACAAGGATAGAATAGTTAACATCAACTAATCGGGTCAAATAATAATAGTTTATTGTGGAGTTGTAGAGGAATAATTGTGTATTGTGGAGTTGAAGGGCAATTCTTCAAAAGGGAAATAAATTAGATTCAAAGTAACAGTTTTGTATCATTGTATATTTATTTTTCATCTAAATGATCTAGATATTTGTTTGAATGAACCTAAACATTGTACAACAAAACATGGCAACAACAATGTGATAATAACCAGATTTTCTGTAGAGTTGTTGACACACATTTAAATTAAAATATCATAATATAGGAACTTTCTAGCACTTCTAATATATTTGGTGAAATCTGGAAATGAACTCATTAATAGCTAACTTTTGTAACTTTATTCTTACTACACATTTGATGTCCATGATAGTTACATTTTTCAAAGTAGATCTCAACAAGATTGATACATTTCATCGAATTGTAATAAGAAAAATTGATATTAAGATGCATGGACGCCATCTACAATTGATGGAATAATAAATAAAAAGAAAGAATCATAATATGTTCAATAGACTTAATTAATACACAATGTCACTATTATTGATTGTAAATAAGCCAATATGATTATCAATATTTCTCAATTCTTGTTTTCCTTGAGTTCCTTAACCATGACGAGACCTCTAGTAAGCTTAATCGGCACCTTCAGATTAGTACATTCAACATGGAAACTTTCCTTCAATGTGCTGTAAATCCGAACTATGCAGCTATGTCAGTTCCTAGTACAAAATAACTCTTTCATGAGCAGTTTTGACAGCTAGCTTGTAAATGAACTACTAATAACATGTTGTCGATCCATTGTAACAAAATGCATACTGCTGTAGAGAACATTTCTCAACTTTCTGAAGATCCATATGTTACATCAGCTTATATTATTGGCGTGATGGCCTTTTCTTGTAACATAACCTAACTATAGACACAGGGTACTAGTTCGTGCTACCTGTTGAATATTATTAAGCTTGAAATGAATGGGCTTATATTTCTTTATAGTTAAGTCCTCCTAGCATGGTCTTCGCTTGTTCCAGTCAACATTATTTATTACAATGTACATGGAAATATTTTTCATAAACGGATGGCTGTGGCTGTAGGCATATTTGAACATTCAATTTCCCAATGAAATATTATGTCGAATGGCATTACCTGCAATCTGGACTATAATAAGAGATGTATCATTCCATATTTATTTTTTGTTTAATCCCTTCAACACTATCAATTTCAAATATTTCAATCGGCAATGAACCTTCTAAAGCTAGAGCTCAAAAGTACAAAAGGTGCTAAGATAACAAAAGTAGAAGAACATGAAGGTGCAGCAACAAACCTTTTGCTCTGGAGGACCATGATTTTTCTGCTCCTTGTGCCATCTCTCCTGAATTCCCTGGGAAATATCGTTTTCTTTACCAGACTCATCTTCACCTTTCATTATCCCTCTGCTAAATTTGGTGTCAATGTTGTTTCCGAAATAATTCTTCTTGAATTGTCTAGAATGTTGGGAGCCAGAAGAATGTTGTCTCAAAGCAAACAAAACATCATCTGCAGTACTCTTTATTTCGGATCCATAAACACAGGAATCCCACTGTTTCAACCAAAGGAGAACCTGTTGCAAAGAGACCACAAAGGTTAAGTAATAACTACAAAATTTGGAAGTAGCGCTACCCTACTGACATCATTGAGAAATTTTTTATGAGTCTCATAAAAAACAAAAACTCTTAACAACCTCACGGTTTGTCTGCTCATCACTGAGGAGCTCCGTAAATGAACTTGGAGAATACTTATCCACCCAAAGTTGATCATTGATTAATTTTTCTTTTTGTTGAACTCCTTCAGTTGGATTAACACTTGCTTTCAAAGCCTTCACTCAAAAGAAAAAAAAGGATCACTGCCAAAAGCGCAGGAAATATAAACTACACATTCATAACATGTTTAGTGTTCCATGAATGTTAAAATATACTAATAGTTTCATTTCAAATGAACACGGAACTCCCTATTGTCCAAAGGTAACAAAAATTTACTTTATAGGTTAACAAATGCATGCAAAATAAATTAAACATCAAGCTATATTAATTTTCAATTATATCAACCATGAAAATTACATTAAATTGTTTTTTTAAAAAAAAAAATAAATAAAATTACAGCTTGAGACTGAGTAACATTGATTCTGTGAATTTAATGCTCAGAGAGCTTAGATTTACTATTTCAGCAAGAAGATGATTGGTGCATAACCAAAGCTCATCATACAAACAACTCATTTACTATTAGTTTTGCATGGTAGGTGAAGGTAGTATAAACAATGAAGCAATCATAAAAGAATTTTTCATAATTGTATAGCATTTCTAATTGCATTTTCACACAATTTGGTGAAAATTATTGTATGCGACCACCAAGTCAAATTTATGAGGTCTAAGTTGAACACTTATCTCATTACTAAAGAAGACAAACTATTATATTTCTGATCAAGAGAGAAGCAACCGGCACCAAATAGAAAGAGAAGTAACTTTGATATGAATTCTGAATACAAAATACCTCTTAGCAGCCCATCGATAAAAGACAAAAAACATACTGGATAAGCATAAAAGTAGACTAGTTCTTAGAGGAAATGGTGTACCCTTGTGAGTTCCTCCTGCTCAGCTTTTTGCATAAGAACTCTGACAGGTTCCTGAAGAAGTCCTGCAAGACCCCATTAGATGGCACCAATGATTACAAGCATTTATAGGGACATGTGATTTCATATTAGATAATGTAATACACAGTGATGTGTGCGTGGCAAAACACATAAAACAAAATGAAAAAATGAGAGTCAAAAAGACCAAAAGCCCTGAAGCACATAGCAACATGAAATTAGAAAGCAATGTACATACCAAGAACTACCATCTACCAACCCATAAAAAAATAATTAGAAAAAAAAAATGTATTTTCCTAAAAATGGGAGATTCTATCTCATAACACTGTACAAACTATTCAGAACTGTGAGCATTGCTCATCAAGTGACAATTTTTAACAACCCTGCAGATTGAGAAATTTAGATTACTTTGAAAAAACTCCCACAGGTATACTGGTTGTCAATGGATTCACTTCAGGTTAGCTCGTATTGCTGTTCTCACTAACGATCATTGAAAAAGCTTTCACTTGAAACTGACATGTAGGAAAAAGATATCGAAAAGAAGCAAGTCGACAATATAATCACCATGAGATTTTTCTCTATTCAAATTGAAACTGATTCACAACCGAATCCTCCACCATGAATCTTACATTCAGTCTGAAAAATCATCCATCAATCTATAGTATTTTTATAAGAAATCGAATACATATATATACACTCATTGTAAGAGATCACAATTACTTACCACTCAAAGCAACACTATTTGACACATTAGAAACACTAGAAAAAAACAAAAAAAAAATCCAAACATTGAAATGATTTCCCTCAGAAACATGCTACAGGAATGAACAAATCCTAATAAGCCAAAGAATTAGGGCTCAGATACTCACCATTGAAGCTACCTCGAAAATTCAGTTTCTTCTTCCTCTCCTCGTCATCCTTTTCTATTCTACACAGCTTCGCATACACTCTCTCTCCATCCAACCCTGTCACCGGCAGACAATCGCCATCTATCTCCGATGCAAATCGAGACACTATCCTCTCTTCTCTCTCCTCTTCCATCTCCTCCACAACATCCTCCGGCGGCAACTCTTTAATCCAGTCTTCGTCATCCTCCACAGCCCCCACATTCGCGCCATCACTCGCCGCATCCGGATCCAATCCCGGCCGCTCGATCTCAGCACGTTCCACATCCAACTCTTCTCCCACTTCAATCCGACTTCTCTTGCCACCGGAGCCATTCTCGTGCTCGATAGTGTCATCGACACATAAGGTTGTTGGAACGGAGTCAGATCGGACGCGTTTCTGGTTAATTTGAGACCGAGGCTTGAACGGCGAGGGCTTTGGAGGGAGGGTCAGAGTCGGTCGCTCGATAAGCCCATCCCTGTCGAGCTGCTCCGGTGACGAAGGCGGCTCGAAATCGTCTTCGAATTCATCCTCCAGAGTGTGAGATTCCAGCCATTCTAGCTCTTCCAAATCAGGAATATCCATTTTCTTCTTTCTTCCTATAGAGAAACTCTCTCTGTGCTGATGAAGAAATAATTGGCGGGAAATGGAAGATAGAAGAACAAGACAGTGGCGGCAAGTGAAGACGGGGTAGGTTCTGCTCCATGCGAGATGACAAAAGTACCCTTCCCATATGGATTGCGTCAATCTAAAACATGGGTAAATGTGTCATCTACAAAACTTAGATATTCCAAAAGCGTGGCTGCGCTTTTTATCATGTGAAACGCGTTTTTATGATATGCCCATAATACAAAAGGGGTTTGTTACCTTGTTTGCCCAACAAAAATTCTTCTAATACGATTTTAAATATACTTTTATAATTTTTTCCTTTTTTCTCACTCGACTATATTCTTTTTAAGTTTTATACATATTAAAAAATAATAATATTTTATTAATTAATAAAATATATAAGAGTGTTTTTTTTTTTTCAAATTTGTACAAATAAAAATTTGTTTATCTTTCACAAAGGAATCTTTGATATCCAAGCTTTAAATGCTTTTTGTGATGACAGACTAGTAAGATCAATCGGGAAACTCTTAGTCAAGACCTCGATCAATTCTAAAAGAACAAAAGAGGCACTGTTGATTCACCACCTATAATTGTTTGGAATCATAATAATATTCTTTTGCACATTTCTTTGGCACATTTTTACCACTATTTTCTCAAAATTCTGTTGTTTTTTTATGTGTAGAATCTTATTGAATGAAGTAGGGTGTGTTCCTATTTACAGGCACACGATACTTCAACCCTAGGTATAAGCATACTTCATTGTGAAGTAATTCCATGCATAACAATATATTGTCTCCGATGTGTATTGCTCATAGAGCAACACTTGGCTTGCATGCAATTTGACACATCGTGCTTGATGTGTCATGTTAACAATGTGGCACTTGTTCTGCATGACATATCGTACTTGATGTGTCTTTTTAGAACGCCACCTCTTGCTCAAAGGTTCTTCACAAAGAAGAACGTGACAAGTCATGCTTAAAGCCACGTTGTGCTTAGGAACGCCTCATGCTTAAGGTCACCTCGTGCTTAGGATATCTCATGCTTAAGGACATCTCGTGCTTAAGAACACTTTGTGCTTAAGCTTTCTCCACAATAAAGAAATGACACCTCATACTTGACACGCCGTGCTTACTAACAATGTGTCACGTCATGCTTGAACATGTCGTGCTTACAAGTAATGTGCCACCTCGTACTCACTCGTGACATTCTTGTGTGTATTGTTTATGTATGTACATATGCTCATATAATTCCAACAAACTCCCACTCGCACTAGAATTATCATGCGTCTTTCCTTACGTGGGATATCACATAGTTTCCCACTCGGAAATGGTTCAAGTTCATACCTTGTTTGGTTGATGGATTTATGCAAGCTAGTCAGTGCCTTCAGCCTATGCACTAAATTAGTTGTTTAATTATTTTAATAAAAATAATTTACTAAAATATGTACAATATAAATATATTTTATATAATATAAAAAATAAATAATATGAATATTTATTTATAATTAATATAAATTAATACTCAAATCACACCATTGTTAATTTTATAAATTTAATTTAATACACATTTATATCATTATATTTATTACTTTTATCATCAATATACATCAAAACCTCAAAAACTCAAACCAAACATAAGGAACACAAAAATTCTAATCCTATCTTAATATTCAGATTCAATCAAAAATCAAACTCAATTCTTTCAAACTTCTTCAAAAAAAATTGACGCGGACGTCCAATTTTCAAAGATTCAAATGCCTGTGGGATCCATCACTCGAAGCCGAACTCGTTAGATTCAAGAATCCATCACTGCGTTTACCGGATGATTGTCATGGAGAATCAATTTAAATATGATGCTTGTAAGCCATTTAGCCCTCACCTTGCAAGAATCGGAATTGAAAAATCAAGAGAATCGTTAACTTTGGAAGATTATCAAGGGAATCACCAATTATGGAAGATTATCAAGAGAATTACAAATTATGGAAGATTATCAAGAGAATGAAAATTTCTAAAAGTTACATTAACATAGATTTCATTTTAATATATGTTTTCATATAATACAATTTCATATCTAGAACTTTCCTTATTATTTGGTTCCTTATAATTAGACTTACATTTTGGTTTGTTTCCTTTATTATTTGTTCTCTTTTATTTTCTTCAAGGATTTCTATATAAGGTCATTGTCTATCATTGTAATGAGACAATTTTTTACATCTTGAATCATAATTCACTTTTATAATTTTCTAGTGTTATGGAGTATTTCATCGCATTTAGAGTCTCAAATCGGGTCTTTAGAGTGATTCCATCGGTTTGTGGCTTCCATTCATTTACAATGATATTTATCCTATTGTTTGTCTTTTAGCCTATGGTTTTGATTTCAAGTCCGAGACGTATTCTCGTGATTGGTTATTGATGGGGATGAAACCGCGATTCAATTTTTGGAAAAATTAGATCCTACTAAACGGATTTAATAAGACATTGAATTTAATTGCTTTCATTTAGGCTAATTTCTTTCATTTAGCCTCAATAATAATGAGCTAATTTGTTAGACTATTTCTATTTATATTGAAGATATGTAATTTAGAATGGGAGAATAAAAAGTGATTTTCACTAAACAATTTGTGTATTTTCATCATCTCCCTACATTAGTTGGTATCAGTTAGCCAATCTTTGCGATTCCGTCATGCCACCGCGCCGTGGTCCGCATCTTGACGATACTATCGCTCAACGTTTGGATGAACTTACTCAACAATTAGGGGCTGTCATACAACTTCTTTAGGCACAGACAGCGGCCGCTCCAGCACCATTCCCTGATACTCCGCCACGCCCGCCCACATCGTGCTCCCAATCCCCAGAACGATCCGGATCTCACCTCGGACGATGAGGCCACCGCTGACAATTCTTTTGCTCATTTGGTTGGACACTGACACCGTGAGTTTTGCCAAAGTCGCCGATGGGAGGAAAGCTTCAAATTGAATCTTCTAGAGTTTAACGACACACTACACCCTGCTGATTTCTCGATTGGTTGCGTTCCATCGAAGATATGCTAGATTTCAAATCGGTCCCATAGGACAGCCGTGTCGCTCTCGTTGCCACCAGCCTTCACGGCCGAGCTGCATCTTGGTGGTCCCAATTTAAGACAACTCGTCAACACCGCGGAAAAGTTTTTGTTACTTATTGGGAGAAATTTGTCAAACATTTGAAGTTCAAATTCTTACCTTTCAATTACACACGTCTCCTCTATCAACGCTTACAAAATTTGAAGCAAGGCCCCCGATCAATTGATGAATATACAAAGAAGTTTTATCAACTTCTTTCCCGATCGAATTTATTTAAACCAGAGGAATAGCATATTTCTCGGTATATAGGGGGCTTACACATCGTATTTCAAGATGCGCTTAACCTTCTCTCCCCTTCCTCGCTCTCTGAAGCACACCAGTGTGTGGTTGCCTTGGAGCGGCAGATGATTCTCCACGCCAGCACCCCATTCACACCGACATCCACCACGCCCCGTCCATCTCTGCCGCACGAGACACCCGTTGCGCGCCCGCCGGCGCCTTCCTAGCACGTCGCCTCTCTCTACAGGTAGCCACCGATGACGACTTCCCGCTGCCCATGTATCTCTTGCGGAGAATTTGGACATCGACTTTCTCAATGCCCTAATAAACAACATTCAGGATTTTTGGCTGAAAATTTTGGTGCAACATCTGGTCTTCCAGAAGATGAAATCAATTCTACCCCTTCTCCAGGGGATGACATTGGTTTTTATCCTGAGGTAGAAGTTTCTGGAGATGTTGGCCCTGCATTAATTCTTCAAAGGTCATGTCTCACTCCCAAAGGACCACTTATAAATGTGCAGCGTAGTTCTTTATTTTTTTATACTTGCACCATACAAGATAAAGTTTGCACGTTTATTATTGATTTGGGTTCATATGAGAATGTGGTTTCTGAATTTTCCGTAGAAAAAATACCCATTCCCTCGGAATCGCACCCATACCTGTATACTTTATCATGGTTGCTGAAGGATACAAATATTACAGTGGACCGTCAAGCATTGGTTAACTTTTCACTGGGAGAAATTTATGTTGACTCTGTTTGGTGTGATGTCGCCAAAATTATGGGCGCCAGAAGGGTACGAATATTACAGTATGATTGTGGTGTTACTTATGATGGGCGCCAAAATACATATAGCTTCATATTTTCCACACTTAAAATTGTACTGCTGCCCACTGTGCCTTCACCACCGCAACGCACCATCGCTGATATGGTACTTCTTCTTTCCCGCTCTGGTTTTCTCCGTGAGATGTTGGCTGCACCTATCACTCTACTTTTACTTCCTCATGATACGTCTAATTTTATTGGTGTTCCTCCTATGGTTCAACCACTTCTAACCAAGTTTGCAGATGACTTTCCCGAATCTCTTCCTGACTGCTTACCACCCCTTCGAGACATTCAACATCACATCGATCTCATACTGGGAGCTTCTCTTCGTAACCGTCCTATCGCATGAGCCCCACCGAGCATGATGAATTACGTCGCCGGGTGGAAGATTTATTACAAAACGGACTCATTCGACATGGTTTTAGCCTTTGTGCAGTTCCTGCTTTGCTTATTCCGAAGAAATTAGGGGAGTGGTGTATGTGTCTTGACAGCATGGCAATCAATAAGATCACAATGCGATATAGTTTCCTTATTCCGTGCTTGGATGACCTTGATCAATTAGCTGGAGCTGTCATTTTTACTAAGCTTGATCTGCGTAGTGTGGTTATCATCAATCATAATTCGCCAGGTGATTAGTTGGAAAACTACTTTCAAGACACGTGAAGGCCTTTTTGAGTGGTTGATTATGCCTTTCAGCCTCTCGAACATTCCGAGTACGTTTCTGCGAGTCATGAACCAGACACTTCAACCACTCATTGGTTCCTGTGTCGTGGTTTATTTCGATGATATTTTGATTTATAGCAAGTCAAAACTGAACACTTGTCCCATATCCAAGATGTTCTATAAATATTGCAGACAAAACATTTTTATGCGTCCCCTTCGAAGTGCACCTTCTTTACAGATTCAGTAATTTTCCTAGGCTATCGGATTTTTTCTACTGGACTTAGTGTTGATAA